TAGTTCTAGGCGCGTGCTTATATTTATTGTTTGCCTGTCTGCTTGTTAATAATGTTGGTACAACCTCGCCTTTGTTTTCCCATTGTCTGGTCGGTCAGTCACAGTTTTGTGGAATAGCCTGAGAGCTCGAGATATATGATCAAAAAAGGAAACTCTATCTAGACATTCTACTAATTAATTATATTTTTAAAAACACACATCCAAAAAATGGTGTATATGCCAAAGGTCCTTCTTTCCGGCTTTCTTTTTTGGCCACCTCTGATGCTTAGGTTATCTGAGCATCAGGCCATTCCGACTCATATTTATGTATGGTCCCTTAATTTATTTATACATTAGGCACATTTGCATTGCGACAACATTCCACTGGGCTATCTATGCGATTCTTTTATGGCCATCTTTGGGCCAACTAGCTGAATTTATGTTCGACTCATTTGATTAATGTGTTTTGTTGACCCTTGAATTTACGAGTCACTGGCGTAACAATTTGAGTTTCGGCTGTGGGTTCTTTTCTCTGTTAGACTGGAAATTTATCGAGCCGTTTAGTGGGTCAGTTGTTAGTTGTCAGTGGAGAAGAGGAGATTATTTCAGAGTCACCCTATTAATCTCTTATTATAGTTGACCAAAATGAAGTCATATTTCTACAAGTCCTGCTTAAAGCGGAGGGACCAGTTAAATAACTATTATGTCAGCCTGTGGCTCTTTATGATGGCTTTCATAACCAACCACAATTATGTTGGCAAATCTTTGGTAATTTTTCATGTTTCCCAACACACACGCACTTAAGTGCCCCAAAATTCCACTCAACAGTTTGTCAACATCATGTACAAACGCACTGGCACTGGCACTGGCCGTGGTGACGGGCTTTTATTAATTTCAATTTGTGTCAACATCAACGCCAAAAATGCACGGCCGAGAGGGGACTGGGTGGCTCTGGGTGGAATGATTTAAGCCAGCTGATGACAAAATGTTTGGCCATTAGGCGAATTAAAGCGCAGTCTGTCCAGGCTTTCAGACAGTGAGAGAAATGACTCTAATTATTTTGAATTTTCATGTAGTCTTCCTGGAGGCCCTTACAAAAATTCTCCCAACTAAATTCATAAAAATAAGTTTCAAAAGTTATGATCTGTTACCTCTTCGCTTTGTTCCCGGTGTACGTTTAACCCAAACCTCTGCCGAGCTGACTTTGGTGGCTTTTGCCATAGAGCAGTTCATAAAACGAGACTGGCCAGCCATTGTTACCGAAATAGCAACACAAACCCACTATAAAAACCATGATTGATGTGCTCGGCTTGACCCAAATGCATGTTTTTATGCCAAAATAATACGCTCTTATCTCCACCGAGCTCAAGTGTCCTTCCCCGAATACTATGTATGCATGAATGTCCGTCGTTGGGTGATGATTATATATCTAAGGATACATTCCCCACAATATGCTCCGGCGTTGGCCCGGCTTTCTCAGGGTTCGTTGAACTGGTTGCGAAAGTTTTCTGCTAATGCTTATTATCTGACCATTTGCTGGCTCAGCACGCGGCGTATACGTAATACGTAATATGAAATTTAATTTTACTTTATGCAACTTTTCTGGAGCCAGGGCACTCAAGCACAATGTAATCGCTATTAATGAATGCCCTGAAAAGTGCGAAGGAAACGAAAACAAACAAGGAGCCAAACAACCAAACAAAACACATTCAACGCAGACTCGCATAAACTCACTTTATACACATAGAACTACACACACACCAGAAAAAACTTAAGCTGGAAATGCCAGCAAACAATGGGGGCCAAGTGGCATGCGGCATGTGGCATGTGCTCCGCGTCCTCGGCTCAGATGCTTTTTAAATATGAGCAGCGAAAATAAAAGTTGATTAAGCTTATGGGCGAAGTAGGATACTTTGTCCTAGACTTTTAAGGGTCCTATAATATTCAAAAATAAATGTATTCATGGATATATTATGACAAATATAAAGTGTAGACTTGTATTTAATCTAGTATTATATCTAATAGCGTATATTTAAGTCCATATCTCTGTTGAAAGGAAATCTGTTGGGGTCTCAGCTGGTCGCGGAACTGGGCTACAAGGACTGATTTATAAGCGCAGCTGCTTGTGGCTCTTACAACTGCAACAACTGCCAAGGGCGGAGTGGAATGGAAAGCTCCATTCTTGCAAAAATGAAATTAATTTCCCATTGCCTTTTGTTTGCGGCCACCCATTTGTCTTTGTTGCTGCATTTTACGATCCGCAGGCAGCGGTTGAAATTTGTCAGCACGGCGATTTAGTGAGCTTAAAGCCACAAGATCCCAAGCCGCAGAGTGCACTTAAAGTCGCTGCCACAAAAAGTAAAAGGGTCCTGCTAGAGAGGAGGGTGTGGCAAGGGTTAAGGGATACAGTGCCCGGAAAACGGAAAAAGGACTAGGAAGAGGCAACGATGCGCCGCGCGTGGCACTCAAGTGCCAAGTGGCTGCTATTGTTATGGCTGTCCCACTTAATAATCAGACATAATAGTTTGAGGCTGCAGATAAAGTTTCTCCGGGCCCAGATGCCGCTGCCGCAGCCACCGCCGGTACCGTTCAACAGGTGGCGCTGTGGTATTATTGTTGCCTCTGCAAGAATTGCCTTTTAATGAGGATTTACGGTCGTCCTGGCGGAGAATCCCGACCTCCCAGCCTCCCATTTCTGCCCTTTTGGGGTCTTATCTGTGCGCTTCTTTAAACGCTGGCCTTTGGGCTTATGCGTTCAACTCTTTGGCTCCTAAAATTGAATTTCGCACTTTTAATGTTCTCGCAGCAAAAAAGCAATTTCCTCGAGGTGCAAAGCCAAATTGAAAAAGGCATAATGACTTGCCAAAAAAGGGCAACGCCTACAACCACAAGCACACACGGCCAAACGAAGAAAATAAATAAAAATAAGAGAAAAAAGGCAGCCAGAAATGGTCGATCATTAAAAAAGGCTTACAATATGCCATTTATTACATTTTTATAGCGGCCACAGCATGGGACATAATAAAAACCTAATACTGGCTAAAAAGAAATCTTCAAAAGTTGATTTTTCTGTATTAAAATTTTATAGCATTTTTTCAAGCTGGATAACCTATTATTTCTTTAATAATTAAGTGCTTAATAGAATATTTTCCGGTAAAATCTATCTTAAAACCACTTAAAAGAAAATAAAACCTTTTTGCCTCGATAGGCACGAAGTGTGAATCTGAATGCCTTAACGCTTATATTTGGAAACACTTCCTGAATAAAAAAAATCATGATCCTTTACAAAAATAGGAGCTGAGCCAACATCTAATGGGGAAAACTTTTGCAAAGCGTGAAAACTTCTGAATGCGTTAACTTGAGTTCAAGCGCGAATCTACTTTCTTAAAAGTCACGCTGGAAAATTGCACTTGAGAGGCCAAAGCCCAAACACCTAGCGACATGAAGCCGACAAAGGCTTTAAGGAAACTTGCCAAGTCATTTTCTGAGCAAGAACAAAAACGAAGGCCAAATCAAAGCTCGGCAAGGGGAACCCTTCAACTTCACTGGGGTAAATGCAAAAATACTTGCCTCTAATAAATGACGTGGGGCAACATCAGAAGCAGAAACAGAAGCAATAACATCAGCAACAGCAACAGTGGAGGCGTATTTAATAATAAACGCGACACCGGCGAATAATGAAAAACGGGCCAGACAGGATGTGCCAGGAATGAGTAAAAATAGCCTGGGCTTGGTCGAGGTTTGCTCATTTGCTGATTTTCTGATTTATGCGCCAATTTGCGCAACATGATGTACCGCCAGACGGAAAAGAGGCTCATTGCGCCAAAGAGTCTCCGGAACAGAATACTATATCTGTCTGGCCATACTTATTTTTGTATACATGTCTCACTTAGGCCCTTCTCCCGACAAAAAAATGAGCAAGCTGCAAGCATAAGCAGGGCATTGGGGCAGCAAAAAGTTGTAGCATAAGCTGGGGCGACTTTAGTCGGTGTAGAGCGCCAAGGACGAAGCCTGTCAAGTTTTTTTTCGGGGAAAGTTTGCTTTCTGCTCGCCCTTAAGGCGTCGACATCAGCGTTGGCGTCAGACTGCACAGACCCCGAGGCCATAACTCAAACTCACCTTCAATACCCACTCCCAGGACATCCTACATACATATATGAGTTTGCTCCGCGATGCGTTGAAAACAAATTTAATTTGCTCAAAAAATCACACATCTTTGGGACGGTTGAATGTGATGGACATGAAAGTTATTGTGAATGTTTAACCGATTCGGTAAAAAAGGATTATTGAGCTTTATTTCCAGGAAATGCTTCATATGATGATTTTATTCGTTGCATTTAGTCTCTTTTGAAATTCAATAAAACAACTCAAACGGATTAAGGAAATTATTTTGAATTTTATTATCCGTTTTTAATATTTTTTTTTTTTGATATTGAAAATTGTATATTCTGAAATATCCTATTCGTTACTCAATTATATTATATAAAACTCTATTCCCAAACATATTCGTCTCTAATCCAACATAATTTTATAAATTATAATAAACGGTGGAGAAGTTCAAACACAATTAATTATTTTGTTTCTAAAATTACTCCATAAATAGACCCACGAAATGGTCATACTTTAGCCAATACCTACGTAGTCCTTCATCCTGGCAGCAATTTCCTGCTGGGGCAACGTTTGCTGTCTTTGCTTCCATCACGGCTGTGTCTGTGTGGGCTGCCGTGTTGTCCTAGTCTTGTTAGTACTGAGCTGGAAAGAACAAACTTCCGCCGGCACATCCTGTCATCAGCCACGCCCCTATCCCCCCACCACCTCCCGCCTCCGTGCTATGACTTCATAGCTCTATCATTTTTATGGCTATTTAAAGGGCCATAAACAACGTGGCGTGTGAGTGTGTGAACGTGTGTGTCGGGGGAGCATTAAATTGAGTTTTATGCGTGATTTCCGTTCTTAACACTTTGTTGACAATGAATTTTATAGACGCTTAATGAAATGTGACAAAACCTGCTTCCTTCCAGACGGAGCAGTTTGCGGTCCTGTGGATCCTCTTCACCGTCATCGTGCTGGGCAATTCGGCGGTCCTGTTCGTGATGTTCATCAACAAGAACCGCAAATCGCGAATGAACTACTTCATCAAGCAGCTGGCCCTGGCAGGTGAGTTTCCTGACTTGTTGAGATTTTCCATTTCCGAGCTCCTGTCCATTTTCACAGATCTCTGCGTGGGACTGCTCAACGTGTTGACGGACATTATATGGCGGATTACGATTTCGTGGCGTGCCGGCAACCTGGCTTGCAAGGTCATCCGCTTCTCGCAGGTCTGCGTCACATACTCATCCACCTACGTGCTGGTGGCCATGAGCATCGACAGATACGATGCAATAACGCACCCCATGAACTTCTCAAAGTCGTGTAAGTCGTCGTCGTGTGAAAACTTTTCTAATTGCAAAATGCTGTTCGCCAAAGCCCTGCTGCTCGTTTATTCGGATTACATGAAATTTTTACGAAAACGTGGCAGTTTTTATCACAGCAATTTAAAATTTGACATAATCATTTATTTATGAAATTAACTTAATCTGAAGAATAGTTTATCATATTTTGAAACTAAATAAAGTATTATCCTTCAAAATATTATTTTAAATAACCTTTATAGGGAAGAGAGCTCGTCACTTGGTGGCTGGTGCCTGGATCATCTCCGCAGTCTTCTCCCTTCCCATTCTGGTGCTCTACGAGGAGAAGCTCATCCAAGGACATCCACAGTGTTGGATTGAACTGGGCTCCCCCATGGCCTGGCAGGTGTACATGAGTCTGGTGTCGGCCACATTATTTGCGATTCCAGCTCTGATCATTTCCGCGTGCTATGCAATTATTGTGAAGACGATATGGGCCAAGGGCTCTATATTCGTTCCCACAGGTTAGTAGAAAAATTATTATTAAAAATATAAATTTATACAACTTGCTTTCAGAACGAGCTGGCTTTGGAGCGGCTCCCGCCAGAAGAGCAAGTTCTAGGGGTATTATTCCCCGAGCCAAAGTTAAGACCGTCAAGATGACTCTTACCATAGTCTTTGTATTCATCATCTGCTGGTCGCCATACATCGTCTTTGATCTGCTCCAGGTGTTTGGCCAAATTCCGCATTCTCAGACCAACATAGCCATTGCCACTTTTATTCAGAGCCTGGCTCCTTTGAATTCAGCGGCCAATCCTTTGATTTACTGTCTCTTCTCCTCCCAGGTTTTTCGCACTTTAAGGTTAGTAAGCCTTTACAAAATAAAATGTTTGGTATTTTTTACAAATTTGCATAAAATATTACCTTGTTCCAGTCGGTTTCCGCCATTCAAGTGGTTCACCTGCTGCTGCAAGTCGTACCGCAACAACTCGCAGCAAAATCGTTGCCATACTGTGGGCCGGCGGCTCCACAACAGCTGCGACTCCATGCGAACCCTGACCACCTCCCTGACCGTCTCCCGCCGCTCCACGAACAAGGCCAATGCCCGGGTCGTCATCTGTGAGCGGCCCAGCAAGGTGGTGACTGTGCCGGCCATGTCGGAGGTATGATAGCTGGCCCACACCACCCGCAAGCGTTCAACGTTCGCGGTCCACGGGCCGACGTCCTTCAGCGACGCGGAGTTTCTCTAAGTAGGGCCCAGGAGGTTCCAGGAGTGGCTCCAGGATTGGAGTGTCCAACATGTGAATGCACCAGAGGCTTAGACAATAAGTTCGATAGTTGTACTAGGCATAGGGAAAGCCAAATGTAAGCCAATAGTTCTTAAGTATGCCAAGTCTACGCTACGAATTTCAAATCTATTTATAACTGCTCCTCGTAAGTATTTATTGTCTAGTAACTGGTATTTATATGACTTTTAATTAGAGCTAAGAAATGAAATTTACCAGCCAGGGGTGTCTATTATATATGATTTCTTATGTATTTTTTATCAAGACTATGATTTTAGGCCATTTCTATGACTTCCCTGGCAGTGTCGGTTTCAGTCGCCTCCCCACTTTGTATTCTATTTATCAGACTGATCTTATTTTCGTGAAACTCGAGCCTAATCACATGGAATTCATACGGCATTTCTTTTTAGTCCTAAGTATCTGATAAGTCCATTCAAATTCCATCTTAACCATGTACATAGCCACTAATAGTTGTGGTTGATGAACTTGTCCAAGATCCTTAAACCAAAACCTATTGAGCATAAGTAGACCGTAAGAGTTAAACGAGCATAACATTTTAGTCAATTTGGTTTAAGCTAATATTTATTTCATCATTATGGTAGTAGAAGGAAGAATAAAGTAAGCGGATTCTCAAGCGTCTCCACTTTCATTTACATTTTTCGCTCTCGGGTCTTGGCACGCGCTGGAAAATCTTCCTTCCTTTCGCATCAATGAACAACCAGAACAAGGACAACAGGGACAATGGTTGGGCTCATTTTTGCTCTCACTTTGGTTATAATTGTTGTGATGATGTGGTATGCGTCTGTGGCCCCGACTGACGTCACTGGTGGCAAAGTCAACATGGCAGATAAATTGAGCGACAAACCCAACGCAGACAATGAAAACATATTGGTTTCTGTGGGCCCAGTAAACAGCCAACGGGGTAGTTCATTTGCTGTCATTGTCTGTAAATGGCAAATTTGCCCAACAAAGTTCAAGGAATCTGTTTATATTTGCCTTATGGCTGGTTAAGTTCTGTAACTTCTCCCTCGACCTCGTATTTACGTCCTCTGCTTCCTGGTTCTTAAGCGTACGAGTAAGCAGCAGCCCCGATTCAGGCAATTGCGGATGAATTTATTGCCCATCCTGGCGGGGACAGGACTGCAGGAATTTTTTTCACCACAGGACACTTCATTAGGCAAGCAAGGCGAAGGAATTCCATTAAGCAGCTTATTTCAGGTGGCCACTGTTGAGTGATTTTTGCAATTATGATTTTTTAATAACTCAACTTTTAATACAAATCCTATTAGAAAATAGGCAAACAATAGCTTTTATTCTAATGCCAGTATAAAGGAAAAACATTTTTTCGTGAGACAGAAGTTGAAAAAAAACAACAATCAACCGCCTGCATTGGTCCTTTTATGGAAATACTTGTTGTTACTTTATAGTTTTTACAGCCTTGAGAAAATGATAAACTTTTAGATTTAAATTCAACCTTGTATCTCCAGCTCTTCATTAGTTTTATTCTATAGGTTTCCTTACAAAAACCAATAATAATAAAAATAAATACCCAAAAATCAAAGATTTAAATAAATATTTTTATGGAATATGGGTCAACACGAGAAAGAAACATATTCTGTTAAGGTTTTAATCGATCTATAGTTTGAAATTTCGTCAAAAAAGTCATGTTTCCAAATTACTGCTTTACTAAATCAGCCAGGCAGTCCGGCTACGATGTTATAAGGAGAAACTATATTACCAAGGATAGTTCCCAGCGAATTGGCCGACAACCCCCCCGACGTGAAGTGAAGTCCGCCGCCGGCAGTGCCCGAAATAACTCCGAAGTCCGGTACGGGTGCGAACCCCGCGATTCCCCAGTAAAACGCAGTCGGCGCCAGAAGAAGGTGCCCAAGTGGAGCTCTTCGTCTCCGAAAGCCTCGTCCTCACGCAGCGTTGGTTTCCGACTGCCGGCAGTGGTCTGCACTGGAGCCAGAGAGAGCCGCGAAGCCGCCGGCGACGACAAGACCCGGAGCGAAAAAGGAGGCATGGGTCCCGAAAATTCAAGCGATCTCAATCGCGAGCTACAGGAGTCCTTTGCAGACTTCTTCAGCATAATCCACGACAATGTCCTGGAATCGGTGCAGGGTGCGGTCGAGAAAATGGTGTCGAAATGCTTTGCCGATTCTATGGAGAAAATGGATCGCATCTCCAAGGATCTGGTGCAGCAGGAGACATTGCTAAATAAAATCTATCGCGATGTTACCAACAGTGAGTAGTATATTTCTGTTTAACTAGTTTTTAGGATTAGTCTAAAGTAAAAAAATAAAAAAAATTATAATAGTTATTATAATTAGAATTTAAAAGGTTTAGATCTCAACTCCATCCCATAGAAATATCGGACCAATGCGAAACGAACATGAATCAGTTCAAGTTCGTCACCCAAATGCTGATTGACAACCAGACGGTTCACTACCGGGCGCTCAACCAGGCGAAGCTAAACAAGCAGCGCCGCAAGGAACAGAAGGAGGAGGAAAAGCAGCGGAAGAAGGTCAACGAGCGGAAGCGGAAGGATTCGCAGATGGAGCGGGAGCGCAGGAAACGGGGCTCCAGCGTCGACATATCCAGGAGACCCGCTGGCGGGGCGGGTAAGGAGTGTGCCCATCGACAACCGCAACATCAGCTCTGCCAGCAACAGGTGCCCGTGACTTACATTTGCCAGTCCTGCTCGGAGCAGGAGGCGAAGGCCCGACCGCCGTCGAGGCACCGAACCGGTCCCGTTCCCATTCGAAGATCCGCCTCACACAGCATGCCAAACCTGCCGAGTCGCAACTCCGTGCCTGGAAAGCTGCACAGCTCATCCACCAGGTTCCCGAGGGTGCCCATCGGCCGCCAGTTCAACAGCAAGATGGCGCAGGCCCTCTGCGCGCCGGCTATGACCTATCCACCTAGCCAACGCAGTGGATCGACTCCGCGTCGAAAGCTTCTGCCGCGGATAAAGTCCGGAGTAGGACTGTCGGAGGGCAAGCTGGGGAGATAGTCAACCTTTAGTTTTACAACCCTCGGCCCCTAGTCCAGACATCTGCTGAGGCTTCCAGTTGCTAAGCATGGCTAGGAACAGGACTCGAAGCTTCTTTTAATCTTATTCATGCTTGTAACTGGAAGCCGCGCCAAGATTCTCAAAATTGTTATACTTTTTTTAAAAAGGTTTCCGTTTTAGAAATCCTTTTAATAAAACTAGGAGCATATGAAGGAGCATACTTATCCCAGGTATAACACAGAAATAATGTTATTTTCATTTAACAAACAATTTATTTTCAACGGTGTTAATAGGATTTATATTAGCTTTACAATGTTTAGTATAATAATTCGTACTATAGTACTTACAACAGGTTATATTAAGCTTTTCATAATTACATCATTTTCAAAGCCTCTTCGTTTTAAAAAAAAGGTAAGGGATCCTTAAATATTAAATTGCAACTGCATTGAATTTATTTATACACCAAATTTATTAGCAAGAGTAATTGTAAATTTTAATTAAAAGTTAATAGGAACAAAAATACCTGATACCCCGCAATTGAGAACAGCAGTCTCAATATTAAAGAATCAATAATAAAAAGGATTAGTGTATCTTCCAAACACTTAATCGGAAGTCTCCGAAACTTTCATGACATTAGCAGTCTTGAGCTCCACCGTTTCGTAATAGTAGTTCTTTTTACGGAAATAACGTTGAACAAACGGAGCCAGCAAATTTTCGTCCACATCCCTGATATCCTGACGTCCATAAACTAAGGTGGCCAGGTTTGAAAAGACAATTGTCAAAATGGAGCCCAGCATGGCGTACAATAAGAAGGACATGTGGTACACTGAGGTTCCTTTGTGGGGCTCGCTAAGGATGGTTTTAATTTTATTTTTGAGTAAGGGGCTTGATTAATAAGAAATCTTGAGCTTACTATTCGGCTGTTGAGTTCAAGTAGCGACTCATGTCAAAGTCGTATTCACAATTCTCCACGGAAACGGGCAGTTTGGTGTGCTGGAAGGTGCCGGTTATGTTTGCGATTTGGGCATTCACAGCAATCCAGGCCATGGTGAGGAAGGATATTATGCTTCCAGCAAAAATGCTCTGAAAGATTTAAAACATATAGTTGACCTTCGTTTTGTGGCCTCAAGTTATTGTTCCCACCTTATCGCCCACCCACGGCATTAGCATGCCCACCGTGAATATACCCAGCATTGGACCATACAAGCTCGATTGGAGGGTGGCCGACAGCTGCAGGACCATGCCCAGTTTCTCCACCACATACACCATGAAGATGGAGCTTATGCCAAAGGTCACCACCACCAGGCGCATGGTGAGTGCCACATGGCGCTCCTGCATGGCCTTTCCCATGCGCGGCTTCACAAAGTCCTCCAGGATTACGGCGGCCAAGGAGTTAAGGAGCGTGGATAAAGAGCTCAAGGCGGCACTGAACACGGCCGACACAAAGAGTCCTGGCAGTCCAGGTACAACTCCCAGGACTCGCATCACCAGGAGAGGCACCAATTGATCCCGACGGCCAGCCAGCTAAAAATATAGAAATAACATAAACATAGAGGTTGTATATAAAAATTTTAAATAAAGAAGAAACTTACTCCTGTGGACATGGGATCGCAATCGAAATAGGTGGCATAGCAAACCAAGCCGACATATACACAACCCAAGTACAACAAGGTCAGTCCAATGGAGAAGGTGATTAGGGTCTGCTTGATGGACTTCAGTGTGGGCAGCGACATGAACCTTTGGACCGTAGCCTGGTTAATGGAAGTGCTCTGCAGCTTGAAGATAGTTCCCCCAACAAATACTGAAAACACACTCAGCCGAACAGTAGGATCCATGGTCCACCTGGGGGATAGAGTAAAAAATAAAAGGGCATCTGGTCGATTATAATTCATAAAATAAACCTACTCGGGGGTATTAAGTCGACCGCCTTCCGAATTGCGCTGCAAAACAACATCCAGGCCCCCAAGATCCAAGGTTCCTTTGATCATGATGATGACCAAGGACCCGTACATGATAACGCTCTGAACCACATCCGTGTAGACAACGCCCTTGAGACCGCCCACGCAGGTGTAGAAGGTGCAGATGATGATCACAATGGGGGTTATGGTATGTATTCCAATTCCAGATACCTGGTTGAAGGTTAAGGCCGGAACGTAAACGGCAATGGGTAGCCATATGATCTGAAAAGATAGAGGATAGGGAATTGTATTAAATATTCAACAAAAAGCTTTGATTAACTTACCGCCTTCAGGACGAACAAGCTAGCTCCGAACAAACGCATTCGCCGGCTGAAACGTCTCTCAAAATACTGAAAGAGTGAGTGTGTATGAGTAAGGATTCGAGTAGACTGTAGAAACTTTAATCATAGGACAGACCCGATTGAGAACTGCTTATGATGGTAAGCTAAAACAAAATGTTAATTATAGGCATTCAGTTATGAGAGGGTACAATACAATGACTAATCTAAGACCAAACTTCAGGTATTCGGCTTTTACGAAAAATGCTTATATTTTTGCAAACAATATTAGATAAATTATGACTAGCCCTAGGCCTTTTCTGGCTCATCCAACTTGAGCTGTGTCACTGACTCGTGCAGGGCCAAGTCCGTTTTCTCCTCGCAAAACACACTCTCGTACTCCCCGTACCAATAGTTTCGCAGAACCGGGCTGATGAGTTCCTTGTCCACAACCCGAGGATCCTGTCGGCCAAAGTATAAAGTGGCCAGAAGGGAGCAGAGCACAGTGCCCAAAGACCCAATGGCGGTATACCACAAAAACGAGATTTCATGGATGCCATGGCTACGGGACTCGACTGATGGTCTGTGGAAAAAGGATAGTAATAGGTTAGAGACATAGTTCAGATTGTGTCACGGCCTGGAACAAGTACATACGCCGGAGTGGTGGCATTCCAATTGGATGGCATATCAAAACTGTAGTCGCAATCCTCAATAGAAACGGGTTTCGTTGGGAAAGTCAGGGTGCCGCTGAAAATGGCCATTTGAGCCCTAACTACAATGTAGGCCGTAAAGCTGGCGGCAGTTGATATTCCGGCGAGAAGACTCTGTAATTATAAGAGGGAATTTCCAGTGAGTACTCGTAGTGGTGCTATCCACCCAATGAATCAAACCTCTGTTTTGACAAAAGGCAGCAGCATGCCTACGCTGAATGCTCCCAGCAACGGACCGCAGGTTATGGCAGCCACTGTGGTGGAGAGCTGCATCACCAGGCCGAGTCTCTGGACGATTGGGACACTGGCCATCGATATCAGGCCGAAGACGACCACTACACCCCTCAGAACATAGCCGGTTTGCCGTTCAGTCAGCGGCTTCGAACGATATGGCTCTACAAAGTCCTTGAGTATCACGCCGGACAGGGAGTTGAGGGCCGTGGATAGTGAACTGAGAGCAGCACTGAATACTCCTGCCACAAACAAGCCCACCACGCCGGGAAACCTGCCCACACTTCTGACCACGTACAGCGGAATGACTTGATCCTTGGCACGAGCTAACTGAAGAATTTAATAAAAGTTGAATATTGCTTATATTTTTTTATTTATTTTGGAAGGCTTATGGATACTTACCCCAGTGGTAATGGGATCACAATGATAGAATTCGGCAAAGGCCAGCATCCCGATGTAGCAGCACATCAGCAAGACAAGCATAAATCCAGTCAAGGATAATATTAAAGCCTGCTTCACAGCCTTGTTGTTGGGTAAAGTTAAGTAACGCTGCACTATGGACTGGTTAATGCCATTGGCTTGAAGTTTGAACAGGGCACCACCAATAAACAATGCGAAGACCCCCATTCGAGCAGTTGGATCAAAGGTCATTCTATCAAAGAACAATATCTGTTAAAAAAATATAATTACGAATTAAAAGGAAACTTACTCTGGTACTATCAAGCGATCAAACTGGCGATTACGATCCAGGACAACGCCCAAGCCACCTAAATCAATGGTGCCTTGGACGATAACAAATGCCATGGAGCCGATCATCACAAATCCCTGAATCACATCCGTCCAAACAACGCCCTTAATACCACCCTGAGGATTTTAAATAATTATAATAAACTGGTAGGAAAGATTAAGCATATATACTAACCACACTGGTGTAGAGAATGCAGATAAAACTAGTCAGGGGCACAATTGTGGAAACACTTATTCCGGATACTGTAAATTATAAAAATATTATTAAATTATTACAGTTTTTCTCTAATAAGACACATCACCTTGGTTTAGAGTGAGGGCAGGAACATAAATGCAAATTGGTTGCCACAAAATCTGGGGAATAAAAATTGTCAATTATTTTGATATTTTTTTCATCAAAAGCTCTACTCACATTCATCACCACAAATAAGCAGGATCCGAAGATGCGAACTCGTCCATCAAATCTCCTTTCAAAGTACTTCGATAAATGAAATAAAACAGAAACAAGAACAGAGTTTTTATATGATGTATGCGTATTTACAGGATGCACTTGATAAATGAGACATGCTTTCGGACTGGCACACAAACAAAATAAAACGCTTGCACGGCACAAGGAGGGGATTATATTTTATTTACAAAGAATATAATTCACTAATTTAAGGTTTTTTTGGTTCCACTTGTCCTGAAGTCACACATGGTTTGTCATCACTAGCCACGCCCTTGTACTGCCCGTACCAGTAACTTCGCAGAACGGGGCTTATCAGTTCTCTATCCACCTTCCTGAGATCCTGGCGCCCGAAATAGAGGGTGGCCAGCAAGGACCCAAGGATAGTACCTATAGATCCGACTGCCGTGTACAACAGAAATGAGATCTCATGGATTCCATGGCTCCCAGAATCACCTAAATATCTGTTGAAAAAAAAAATTTAGTTAGAAAAGTGATTCAAAGTATTCATCCGCCAGGAACAAGTACATACTCTGGGGTGGTCACATTCCAATTATCCTTCAGGTCAAAACTGTAATCGCAATCCTCAACAGAAACGGGTTTCGATGAAAAAGTCAGGGTGCCGTTGAAAATAGCCATTTGAGCCCTCACTACAATGTAGGCTATTAAGGAAGATGCACCGGACATGCCTACGAGGAGACTCTAAAAATTGAGGATGCGCATTAGACTTATATTTAGGATCAACGTTCTCAAGATCAAACCTCTGTCTTAACAAAGGGCATTAGCATGCCCACAGTAAATGCTCCCAGGAGCGGACCGCAGGCTATGCCAGCCACTGTAGTGGAGAGCTGCATCACAAGGCCGAGTCTCTGGACAATCGGGACACTGGCCATGGAGATCAGACCGAAAACTACCACCACACCCCTCAAAACGAAGGCGGTTTGACGTTCCGTGAGAGGCTTTTTTCGATACGGCTCCACAAAGTCCGCCAAAATTACACCAGATAGGGAATTTAAAGCCGTAGAAAGGGAGCTGAGAGCAGCGCTGAAAATCCCAGCTACAAATAAGCCGACTAGTCCGGGGAAGTCTCCGACACTCTTTAACACGTACAGGGGTATAACTTGATCCCTGGCACCTGCCAACTGAAATAAAAAATAGTATAACTATATGAACTTAAACTAGTTCTGTACTTACGCCTGTGGTTATCGGATCACAATGATAGAACTCAGCAAAGGCCAAGAGACCTATGTAAACACACATTGATATTATGAGCACAAATCCAGTTATGGCCAATATCAAGGCATGTTTTACAGCCCTGTAGTTCGGTAGCGTAAGATATCTCTGAACTATGGGTTGATTTATGCCATCAGCCTGTAGTTTAAACAGAGTGCCTCCAATTAGCACAGCAAGCACTCCCATTCGAGCTCTCGGATCAAAGGTCATTCTGCAGTAAATTCAATTATTATATAGGGCCTTTTAAAAGAGCTTGACTTACTCTGGGCCAACCAGTCTATCATACTGAGCAGCACGGTCTATAAGGACTCCCACGCCCCCCAAGTCCCAAGTGCCTTTAAGAATAACAATAGCCATAGAGCCGAGCATTACAACGCATTGAATGGCGTCTGTGTAAACCACGCCCTTAATGCCGCCCTAATAAAATTATTTTAACAATAATAGACAGTACATATATGTTATATTCACATTCAAGACTTACGATGCAGGTATAGAGAATGCAGATGAAACTTGTTAGGGGAACAATCGTGCTAACACTAATTCCAGAAACTGTTTAAAAATATATTGTTAACTGAAATAATATATTTTTAAGTTAAACCACCTTGATTTAGAGTCAAAGCTGGTACATAAACGCAAATGGGCTGCCAAAGAACCTACAAAAAACATACAAATTCATAAAATAAAATAATAATAATAACAAATAGTGCTACTCACATTCATCAGCACAAATAGACAAGATCCAATGAAACGCACTCGCTTGTCGAATCGTCTTTCCAAGTACTTCATATAAAAATATTAAACAGGAGCAAGAAAATATTGGTTATAGGAGTCATGGGTATACATTAATAATGATAAGAATGAATGAATCCTACTTCATGTTACTAATTTAATAGACAAACAAAAAGAAGATTTCGACACAACAACGAGAAACATTTTATTGACAGAGTTTAAGGATCATTATTAGCTTCAGATTTGCGCTTGAATAGGTCCTGCATTTTCACAACATGGTAGTTCTTTTCGGGAAGAAAACGACGCATGCAGGGTGTGATCAGGGCAGGATCCATTTTGTTGAGGTCCTCCCAGCCAAAAAAGAAACTTGCTAATACCGAGATCACTATACAAATCACTCCACCCAGGGCAGTGTACCATAGGAAAGACAAATGATAGATGTCGCGCTCCGATGGGCTGAGGAATCATATAAAATAGGGTTTCCATTTGTCAATTGTGGCTACATTTATGTATTGTTACTCCCATACTTACCTGTACCCGTGAATAGTCGCATGAACTGTGGCATTGTCGAAGGAATAGTCACAGCCATCGACAGAAACGGGCAGTTTGGGATGACGAATATCCCCACTCATTTGAGACAACTGCGCCTTGGCACAAATCCAAGCCAGGACAAGAAAGGACACCAGGCTGCCAGTCAACACGCTCTACAAAAGAGGCCAAAAACCGATTTGTATTTAGAAATTAAAAGCGTAAATCTCACCTTTTCCTTGATCCAGGGCAGACCCACTCCAATAGTGTAGATCCCCAAGAGCGGACCCATCGACACGGCTGCCGTGGAACTAGCCAGTGGCACTACGGTTCCCAGCTTCTCCACAATATTGACCATTCCAATGCAGGAGAATCCAAACACTATGACAATCGCTCTCAACAAAAAGGCTGTCTGTCGTTCAGTCAGGGGTTTTCTTAGCAAAGGCTTCACGATGTCCTGCGTAATCACACAGGCCAGAGAATTGAGGCCTGTGGACAAGGAGCTAAGGGCGGCACTGAAAACTCCGGCCACAAAGAGCCCCGGTAATCCTGGCAAGGATCCCAAAGTTCGCATCATTAAGAGCGAGGGCAGTTGATCACTGGCTGATGCCAACTGAAAGGGATTCTTGTTAGAGGAATCCCTAAGTGATAAGACCTATTGATGAACCAACCTTTGTACTAATTGGATCACAATCATGGTAGACTGCGTAAGATACAAGACCCATGTAGCTGCAGCAGCTCAGGAGGAACACTAACAGCACTGTGAACACAAACATACACCGTTTGGCATGCTCGTAACTGGGCAGGGAGAGAAAGCGCTGAATGGAGACCTGGTTGACGTCCGAGGACTGAATCTTGTGCAGAGTACCGCCCACAATCACGGACAACATGGACAATCGCACTGTGGGATCCCAAGTCCACCTTTAATTGAGTTTGCCATTAAATTTGCAAATTAATCATCACATCTACTTACGGCGGTTGCGATCCATGACCACGCCCAGTCCTCCCACATCGAAAGTGCCCTTGATGCAGACCGCCAAAATAGAGCCGAACATCACGAAGCTCTGAGTGACATCTGTCCAGACCACGGCCTTGAGCCCGCCCTGAAATGGCAGACTTCCAGTCACCACCCACCCGACAATTTGCATCAGAATTTAATTAAGCCTCACCACGCAGGTGTAGAAGGTGCAGATAGTGCACACAATGGGTGTAATTACGTGGATGCCAGTCCCGGTAACTGGAAATTAAAGTGCGAGAATGTTGTCCAATAATAATGATGTTACACAATACCACAACTATTTTGTAATAGTTCATCAAACTCACCTTGGCTGAAGGTTATGGCAGGCACATACAAAACCACAGGTAGCCAGAGTATCTGAGAAATACGAAGCGCAGAAAACTAATGAACACTCGAACACATAAGGATAGGATACTCACAGTGCCCACTATGAAGAGAGCTGAACCCAAATTGCGAATGCCAGCCCCATATCGCAATTGAAAGTACTAAGTATTTAAGAAGATTTTGGTTAGTTGAAAATGTTTTCGTACCTATTCCTCTATATGATTGTTTACTTGAGTTAAATTTAGTTTCATGCATATATGTATATAAAACTATGGTACAACAAAACGTGCAACGAATTCAAGAAGCTTAAGGGTGAATTTTATTAACAAGTGCTCAACATTAAACTATTATCTAGGATTTCTCATTGGAGCTCTTCAGAATGGTCTCATCGAGCTTGACACTCAGGTAGTTCGACTTCTGGAACCTACGGATACACGGGGAAATAAGCTCCAAGTCCACGTCCTCGGCCTTGTTGCGTCCAAAGAAAAAGCCTCCTAAGTGACCGGCTAACACGCCCACTGTCGCCCCCATCACACTATAGAACATGAAGGAAATGTGGTAGATTTTCTGGGCGAAAGTGAGAGATCTGTGGGAAGTGTCTTGAACGATGAGTGATTTTCACTTAATAGTGCGGCTCCTGTTAACTTACGCAGGTTCATCGGAAGCAAAGGTAGCGTTGGCAGGGGTCACCAATGGTCGCTGGAAATCGTAGTCGCAGCCATCGATGCTCACAGGCTTGCTCTCGAACTGCATTTCCCCGGAGTTGATGGCCAGTTGGGCTGTGATACACAGCCATCCCATAAATAAGACAGAAACAACGGATCCGAACAAGGCACTCTTGAAAAAAATAGTTTTGTTAGAAACTACCCATTTAAAAATTTAAATACTGGGAAAAAGGAATTCTCCCAGGAAACGGAAGACTAACCCTTGAGTTGATGCTGGGGCACAGCAGGCCCATCACAAACAGACCCAACAGAGGACCCTGAGCCACTGATCCAATAGTCATGGAAAGCTGCATCACATGGGAGCCCATTTGTTCCACCACAAAGACCAGAGCCACGCTCAAAACGCCAATGCCCACCGTGCAGAGGCGCATGGTAATGGCAGTCTGGTGCTCCGTAAGCGGCTTTTTCATCAGCGGCTTTATGTAATCCTCCAGGAACACGGCTGCCAGCGAATTAAGTCCCGTAGAGAGGGAACTGAGGGCCGCACTAAACACGCCGGCCACAAACATCCCCGGAACTCCGGGGAAGTTGCTTAGGGACTGCACGACCAGAAGGGGAACTAATTGATCCTTGGCGACTGCCAACTGAAATGAGTGGGTTAGTCCTATCCATCTATCCATCTTTAAAAAAGCAATTCAGAAACCTTGGTGGTCAGGGGATCGCAGTCGTAGTAGGTGGCATAAAGCAAAAGTCCATTGTATATGCAGATGGACATTAAAACAACCAATCCAAGGATAAAGAGGAAAGATGTGTGGGCCATCTCTTTTAGTCCTGGCAGGGACAGATAGCGCTGGGTAATGATCTGGTTGCAGCCCAAATTATAAGAGTTGTGGGCCAGATTTCCAACCAACATAGCCAGCATAGACATACGAACTTTGGGATCGAACGTTAACCTGTTTATAAAATTTCAATAAAATTCAATAAAAAAACTCTAGTTGCCAGGAATTTAAACAAAAACCTACTCTGGCCACTCAAGGCGTCCGCTGTCAAAGTTCCGCTGAATGACCACGCCCAGTCCGCCCACATCGATGGTGCCCTTGATGACGACAAAGAAAATGGCTCCCACCATCACCACAGTTTGGATCACATCTGTCCAGACAACGGCCTTCAGGCCACCAGCAGTGGTGTAGAAAATGCAGACAATGCACACGATTGGCGTGATTATGTGAACATTAATGCCCGTAACTGAAATAATGTTCGAGGTTCAGGATGAAGGATGAAGTTATACCCATTACTGAAGTTAACGTCAAGAACCCATAATGAAACATGGTATTAGTAAAGTATGATTGGAATTGACTTCAAAATCAGAAGTAAATTTTATGGTAAGATATTTATAGTAAGTATTATTTATAATTTTAATTTTGAACTTTTTTCTCATCCAGTTCTACGCTGGAGTATTTCTTTTTCTGGAATCGGCGAATGCACGGCGACAGCAGCTCTAAGTCCACTTCGCCGGCTTTGTTTCGGCCAAAGAAACATCCCGCTATATAGCCGGCTGCCACGCCCACTGCGCCCCCAATCACGGTGTACAGCAGAAAGGATATGTGGTAGAGTTGCTCGGCAAAACTGAGGGACCTGTGGGATTGTGATTGGGAATACATATGATATGAGTTGAGTTGCATTGGCTTTTTGGGGTTTTCCGGGAAACTTACACAGGCCCTGCCTCCGGAAGTGTGGCATTTGCCAGGGTCACTAGGGGACGCTCGAACTCATAATCACAGCCCTCGATGCTCACCGGCTTAGTCTCGGGACTAATTTCCCCCGAATTGATGGCCAATTGAGCCGAAAAGGAAAGCCAGCTCATAAAGAAAAACGAGAAAATAGATCCTGCAATGGCGCTCTTAAATGAAAAAAAAACATGTAGGTTTTAACTTAAAATCAATTTCATCAACTGGGGGTCGAGGATAACTAACTTTTGAGTTGATGCTAGGACACAGTAGCCCCATAACGAAGATTCCCAGCAGGGGCCCTTGGACCACAGAGCCCAAGGTGATGGCCAACTGCATCACATGGGAGCCCATGCGTTCCACCACAAACACCAAAGCCACACTCAATACTCCAATAATGACTGTGCAGAGTCTCATAATAACGGCGATCTGGTGTTCGGTGAGGGGCTTCTTTGCCAGGGGCCTGATGTAGTCCTCCAGGAATACGGCGGCCAGGGAATTGAGACCCGTGGAGAGCGAACTAAGGGCGGCACTGAACACGCCGGCCACAAACATTCCCGGAACTCCGGGATAGTTGCTTAGGGATTGCACAACCAGAAGAGGTACTAATTGATCCTTGGCCACCGCCAACTGTAAATAATGGTCCGGATCAGTCACATTTTAGTAGATTTATGATTCATTAGCCGAACCTTTGTGGTAAGGGGATCGCAGTCATAGTAAGTGGCGAAGAGCAAAAGTCCATTGTAAATACAAAGGGAAAACAAGGCAACTAGACCCGCAATAAAAATGAAGGAAGTGTGACCCATTTCTTTGACACTTGGCAAGGACATGTAGCGCTGTACCATTGACTGGTTACAGCCAAATTGGTAGGCATTATGACCCACAGCGCCTACGAACAAGGCCAGCATGGACATCCGCACTTTAGGGTCAAAGGTAAATCTTTTATGGGAGTTTAAAAACTTTTAAATAAAGCCCTATAGATCTTCTAGTGCCACCACCTACTCCGGCCACTCGAAGCGTCCACTGTCCAGGTTGCGTTGGATAACGACACCCAACCCTCCCACATCGATGGTGCCTTTAATGATGACGAAGAAAATGGCTCCCACCATGACCACGGTTTGGATCACATCTGTCCAGACAACCGCTTTCAAGCCGCCGGCAGTGGTGTAGAAAATGCAGACGAGGCAGACAATCGGCGTGATAATATGAATGTTTATGCCAGTAACTGAAAGATTTTATTATATTTCCAAAAAATATTTAGATGTATGTTTATGCAGATCTGTTTTGGGGTTCTTGACATATTATTTTTGCACTTCCGATCTCTCACCTTGATTAAAGGCCAACGCCGGCACATAGATAACAATAGGCAGCCAGATAAGCTATCAAAAAATTAGGCAATTACATTATTACAACTTTTTAGCTTAAAACTTCCATATGAACTGCGATAAGAGTTCTATCTCTTTAAATAGAATTATACTTACGTTGGCGCCAGTAAAGAAGGCGGATCCCAGCAGGCGAACCGATTTGTTGAACCGCAACTCGAAGTACTGTAAGAATTTTTTTTCCATTGGTTTGTCGGCTCTCGGATAACACAATAAAGATTGTCCCCCACAAACACAGACACGTCGGAGTGTGAGTGCCTGTGCGGGACTACGCATACATAATCGAATATTACTCATACGACATGTTGCCTGGACTTATAAACTACAACTATCCGTGTGCCAACTACAATTGGCATTGTTCGAGCTGGCATTGTGTCTATGCTCGGGCACACAAGCCCAGCCATCCACAATGTTATTCCAGTGGCATGCAAATAAACTGGCAGCGAAAAATACTCGTACTTTCAGCTGATTGCACCCCGGCTTACCCCCATGTATCCCATACATTTTGCATTCATATTCAGAGGAATATGCGGGCCCCCAAAGCAGCAGTGCTTTGTTGGCCTTTAACTTACTTACACATATTAACATGCCAGCGAACATTACAAGAATCCAAAATCGTACACTCAGAAACATTGAATTAATGTGTAACATGCAGTCCAATAAGTAAACACAGAAATCATGCATCTAGTTGGACAACGTTCTGCTTACCTCATAGGTGGATGTCAGCTGCAGGTTGCAGAAAACGGGCAGGAAGATGTACCACGAAATGGTTCCCGATATGGCCAGGGTCACCAGGATGAAGGCGTACTGGGTGCCGTAGACGTAAATTTCCGTCGAAGTTCCCAGAAGCGAGATGCCCGACACGAAGCTGCAAGTTCACACAGGTTAATAAGGCAAAAAAAAATTAGTTCAAGCTAATTACGTCGAGGGCTAAAAGTTGGCCGGCTAATTGCCGGCCGATTGATCAAGATTTATTTTTGCTTCGCCCAAGTTATTTTCGTCAAGGCCCAAAGATTAATCTGAAGCACATTTTAATTAAATTAAGTTTGAGCTGAGCAAAGTTCCAAGTTTCGGGCAGAGTTTTGGGAAATTTTAAAACAAACTCGTAGCAATATTATATTGAATTTAACAAAGCTCTGAGCCTTATCGATTAGATTATGCGTGCAAAATATTGGCGGCTTAAATTGAAAGCAAAATGACATTATGCATAGTCGCATTTGTGGGCAAGTGTATATAGATTTTTCCTACCATGCATTTCATAATCTGATTTTAATGATTAATGTCCATAACAATCATCATTTCAATCCAGGCCGCCAAACAAATGAATTGCCACAGACACTGAAAGTTGACGGCCAAGAGAGAAATGCCATTAAAAGTTGATAACAAGCAGCGTTAAAGTATGCAGACACCCACACACAAAAACAACACCACCGAAAAAAGAGGAATATTTTTTAAATCTGAAAAAATACAAAAGAAATTTGAAAGAAAAAATGGTGGCATGTAATTGTAATTCAAAGCACGTTGGCTGAATTTGTTGCAAAAAGCAAACGACAACAAATAGAATGCCATAATAATAAAAGGCTCACGAAACAATTGTCAGCGGGCAAGGCAAATGACCAAGCCAGGACTCTAGAACTCTAGGATGGCAGGGAACAGGACCTGTCCGCCTGGTCATTAATGCGACGACAACACGCCTAAGACAAAAGACAAAAGGACCGCACCCTTCGAAAGGTGCTTGACCAAAACGTGTCAAATACAAAGCCCAACTCGCACCGTTCTCAGACCGGGGACCAAGGTCACTCGAACAAGCCACCACAACAACAATACATGGCTAAACAAAAAGTAATTTGGGCAAATTATTTGAGTTTGCGGCCGGCGTAAGTTTAAATAACTTCAATCTGGCTTAGACACCGAAAGCTGCTAAGTTGTATTTATACGTGGGATATATTTACTTGCAAAGTTCCGCAAGCCATTTCAATATCAGCACAATCAACATCAACATCAACCAGCCACCAGCACCTAGAGGCATGCCCCTTAACCATCCATAATAGGCTTGACCCTGACAATGAATTATTTACGCAAGCTCCATCCTGGTGGAGGAAACTTTTAAATAAAATGCTACTCTGTTTGCCCTCGCCAAACAATCGGCCAGACAAGGCTGGGCGGGGAAAGATTATTTTTTGCTTAGATTACGTATACGCACGTTTGGCTGAGGGCACAAAATGAAATGAAATGACTGAAAAATTTTGATTGATTCGCCGGAGGGGCCAGTGGGGAAGGTGAAGACAAGCTAAGGCCATTACGATAATTTGTGCAAATATTAACTGAATCGAAGCGAATGCATCGCACTCGATTTGAGGGGATTATCCCAGCTTTAAGGAACTTGAGCCTTTAATTTCCGAATTGCCTGCCTACGACTATTCCGCCCAAGGCTCTGAAACGCCTTCCGGATTGGGTCAGAAGCAATTAAACAGGATACACTTGCAAAAAGGATTCTGTACTTTATTTTACAAAGTTTATATTTTCTATAAATACTTTTTCTGATTCATTAATCTGGTCAAAACTGGAGCTAAAAGATGAGCTTATTAAAGGATAAAATAAAATTGCACATTTAATTTTTCTAGCAATTTAAAAAAAAAAAAAAAGGACCTTACAAAAGCACCGCATCTATCTACCAAATTTAACACTTCAAAAAAGGGGAAATACTTTCTCTCTCTGTATAGACGCTATAAAACACGCAAGGCCAATTTGGCATTTGCATATATAGCCGCAGCGGTAACTCACCTGGCCACAAGTGACAGCGCGACCGGAAACACTTTCATTTGGCGTCCGCCCACCAGGTAGTCCAGCGCCTCTGAGCCACGTCGCTCCTCGATGCCCGCCGCTCCAGCCCCATCCTTGCCGTTCAGCTTCTGCTTCTTCTGCTTCTTTTCGATGAAACCGAAATAGACGCCAATAACGGCGCATACCGCCAACATGGCCACGAAGACCAAGTAATCAACAGTTCCGAAATGTTGCAGGGCCTGGCTCAAATCCTTCACACTGATTTTCCCATCCTCATTTCCCCCAGGGGGGCTGAATGACTGGCCGGGAGTGGGCGTGGGAGTGGAGATGGCCGCCGACAAGGACGAGGGCGAGGGCGTGGTCGTGGTAGTTGTAGAGGTGGCCGGAGAGGCGCCAGTTGTTGAGCTTGGAGAGACTGTGCTGCTAATTACGGCCGCTGTCTTCACAATGGCATCGGCCACGATAGTAGGAATGGGACGGGATGCCGGGACGGAGGCAACTTCCCCCAGTCCCCCTCCAATAGACTCGGCAGTGGTGGACATTATTTCCGGGACCGCAAGTTGCTTTTATGTAGTTTACTTTTATTGACTTCCAGCCGCGTTGAGTCGTCGGTCGCTTTAATGCGTTTAGCTTTGATTACTTTGGCATTAGTTTGGCACAAGCACTCGACACTGCGAACTAAATTCGAATTTTCATTAGATATTTTTTCGCCCTTCCTATTAAAAGGACACTTGCTTAAATAAGGTAAAAGCAAAAATAAACTAAGGAAAGGACTTTTAAACATGAGAAAATAAATTATTAACTATTGAACTTCTTTCTTTGAGACTAAAAGGATTAAAAGGACTCTGAAGCATCAGAATCAGAAAAACCTCAAACAAATAATTAACAAACTATTTTGATGTTTAATGGTTTCAATTTTCTTTCATTGCCTTCTGGTATACTTCAACACAACACTTGTAGTTATATTTTAAACTATTTATCACACACGCACACTTGATCCTTGAGTTTCGGATTCAGGATAATAGAATTAGAACTGGATGGGAGCTCACACAAGTGGCTGATCCAAATCACCGCCGGGTACTGAACTCGCTGAACGACTCAAGCTGCGTTAGAGATCACCGGAGATCTTATCGAGGCGAGAAAACATCCGAGCGGCCCATAATTCACGCAAATCTTGTAAGAGTGTGGACAGAGGCTTTGTGTAAAGCTTTATCACCTAATTGTCCAGGGGCATGTCACGTCTAGTCTAGGAATAGATAGATAAGTCCACACCCCCTAAACGTTGTCTAGCCTCGGATATACTCTATTGTAAATTAATTTCTTTGTGCGCGAACCTGGCTTGCCTGGCATTTAATAACTCGGCTATATATAAAAATACATATCCCGCGCATTTGACTTGGCTCACTTAGACTATCTTTACAACTTCAAAAAGGGGTACATTTCCACGATATCACCATAATACATACAGGCCTTGCGCCTCACTAACCAAATAAAACAGGTGGCTACTGGTTATGATCCCGGATTGACTAAACGAGAGGTGGGACACCTCAAAGATGACGTGGTGCCCACGGGGCAAACAAAGTGTCTTGGCTAGAGATTAGACAGTAGCAGCAAATATTTGCCTATTGCCACAGGGGCAAGGGCACGACGTGACGTATGCGTGATGAACCTAGCCAAAGGGAAACTGATTTCAAAAAGGTTCCCAGTTGATTTCGCAGTGGATAGAATCTTTGATATTTGCTACCCAACAGGATGCAACACAAATCGAATTTCCAAAATGGCCAATAACGTTAGCTAACCGTTTAAATTCCCAAATTGGCCATGTCCGGCAGACACAGAGGCCATGGCTCTGACTGAAACGAGTCCAAGTTCGACCCAATGGAATGTCAATCTTTCTAAAGAGAGAAATACAAGCGGAGTCGGAGATGAAAAACCACTCCAGAGAAATGCTCTACTTCTCCATAATTTCAGATTTATTGAGTTTAATGCACATTAATGGCCGGACAATGGCATCCATATCAACTGAGCAATTGTGCACCAATTTAACTTAACTTGTACTCCGGTTCAGTGCATCTAACATATGATGCTGCAACAGCCAGCTCACCGTCTAATTGATTTTTGACAATCAATTACGGCCATTTCTTAGGAATGGAGCTTCGAACGGAGGAGGAAAATTCGATTTGGGGAAACCCACACAATGCCCAGCAACGTGACTTTGACTTTGTGTAATCTTTTGCTGAGGTAATCCCTTGTGAGCAAGGACAATCGGAAAATGGTAAGAGAGGAATTAGAGAAGGACATAGAAACGTGAAATCCTCAGTGCGACTTTAAGATGGGATAGTTTATACTTCAACTTCAGTTTTAATAAAAGTTTTCTAAACAATTCGAGTGCTTTGGAAAATACCATACCCGAATAATTTCATCACATTAAGTCAGAAGCCTCACACTCCTCTATCTTAAATGGAATTTTCCACACCAAAAAATGCCTGTTCTAAGAATAGACTTCAAAGTGCTCTAATTTCTGGAAATCCTCAAATAAACAAATATAAATTACAACATGGGGAAACGGCGTGATGAACTTGTAACTATAATCGTAAAACAAAAGATAAAATCATAATTACAGAACTTATGTGCGGAATAAATGATCCCAACTAACCCACTGATAGCGCCCAGTAGTAACCGCAATTTAGAAACCGGCCAGTGTAAATATAAGCGCTACAAAAAAACAAATCCCTGGCAAATAAACGCCACAAAGTGCTAAAAAATTTAATTATTTCCAGGCGACGAGCGAAATGAAAAGCTGGCGAAAATGAAAACCCGAGTTTAGCATATGCAAAATAATGGCCAGAACCGGCAACGACACCAGCTCTTGACCCTTTTGGGTGGGCTTAATTTGTCTGGCCACCGCGGCAGCTGTTTCGGCCTTTTAACTTGGCGCAAATACAACAGCTTAACTTTAAGGGAAGCCACCGCCCTGGCAACGCTTTTGGCCCTTTTGCGAATCCGCCCCAAATGTTTGTGCAGTTCTAGTGTTTGGGAATTTTCACATTTCCGGCTGCAGCTTCAGTTTGCAGTTGCCTTGACTTTGGCTCCGTTTAGTTTTCTTGTGTGTGCTTTGCTTTTTTGTGAACATTTCTACCCAGTAAGCAAATTGCAAGAGGGTAGATTAAATTAAATTTATTTAATAGAACGTTTTATTTACTTAACACACAGTAGATATAGATTTTAGTGGTTTTGGCTCAAAGGCTTTAGCCTTACTATTCTTCTCATGAACTTATCCTGAAGAATGAAGATTCTTCTGCTTCTGTAAAAATATACCTGTATATATACATAAAATCAGTTAAGTTAAAGTAAGAGGTATTTTTAGATTTCCCACCATAAAAATAGTTAGTTTAGTTGTTTTTCGTGTATTTTTTTTTTCGGCACACTTGAGCCAATTTAACGCTTCCGTGTGTTTTTTACTTGCCACGCCTCGTTGACTTTGCCGAGGGAACTTTTTGTGTGTCTACTGGAGGGCAAGGGGAAAAACGATTTAATTTCCAACTAAAAACAGCAAACACAATCCGTAAATTAGCGCTGTGGCTGCCATGTACAGTTCAATTAATCCAGTTAAGTAATCGTTGGCATATTTCTTTGGCCAAAGAACTATTCAGGGCCATTGATTACACGGCCCACAAATTAAGACCAATTAAATCAAATCGAGATTGTAGGGACGGAACGGGAATACCATGGCCCGGACCGAATCATGACCTTGAACTTGGCGGCTTTCATCCATTAGCCGCAATCGGGACTCTGTTCTAATTCCTTACTCTGCCGTTTTTACATATTCACTTGGGGCCATTTACGCCGATCCAGACACATGAACAGAAGTCGACTTGGCCCTTCGGAGAGTTGTTCGGATGCCAGGGGCAATGAAATGGGAATGAAAAGCTTGAATATGCATTATTCTTTCTACTGGCCAGCCATTCACTGGCAATCAGAAGTTGTTCGAGTGGAAAAATTAAATGTATTTCGCTGTCCAAATATGTATGTGGAGAGCGTCGAGATTTGGTTGCAATTGGGGGCCATTTCTTGGTCTTGGTCTTGGTCTTGGTCTTGGTTTCGGTCTTAGTCAAGGGAAAACATATCCAAAGTTGGGGATCTAGTATAAGCCATTTTATTTTAAAATGTGTGCAGGCAAACATCTTATCTTTAAACACCGTTTTTTTCACATTTATGAACATAGTCTGGCGTCAAGCCTTTTCCAATCTGGTTTGTTCCAACTAAACCCATATATCCAAGAAATCGTGGAAAAGCCAAACTGAATAACAAGAGATGGACCACTATGTCGCACCGCGAAGCATATATTTTTGGCGTTTAATATCCGATTCGGAACCGGAGTACCTTTAATTCCCTGATATTTTTAGCTAGTGTGTGTACGAATGTTTTAAGTAAAACACAACAACCAATTTAAGTAATTTCTTGTTCATACAATTATCGTAAGCAAAGTCATATATTAAACAACAGCAAAATGCATAAAAGTCGTCTATATTTAACCAGAATCAAGTTATCGAACTAATCTTTTAATGTTATATACATAAAATTAAGATAAACAAGAAAGGAAAGCTAACTTCGGGCGGAGCCGAAGTTTATATACCCTTGCAGTTAAAACCGGATATATATCGCAAACATCGGATATAGTTGGCCAATCCTTATGAGAATATGATAATATTACCCAATTTATTATAATACAAAAACCAAACCTAAAAATGTCCCAAACTTCTATCTTCAAAAACAAAAAAGTTGGGTCATTTCCGATCGTTCAGTTATATGGCAGCTATAGGATATAGTCAGCCGATCCTTATGATATTTGGTAGGTTGGATCATCCGGCCAAAAATATAATCTGTATTAAGTTTCAGCTTTCTATCTTCAAAAAAACGAAAGTTGGGTCATTTCCGATCGTTCAGTTATATGGCAGCTATAGGATATAGTCGGCCGATCCTTATGAAATTTGGCATGTCGTAATGGTTTGCCAAAAATAGCTCTCTTGTTAAATTTGAACTCTCTAACTCTAAAAACACCAAAGTTATACCATTTCCGATCAATCAGTTATATGGCAGCTATATGATATAGTCGGCCGATCTAGGCCGTTCCGACTTATATACTGCGTGCAAAGGAAAGAAGGGTGTGTGCAAAGTTTCAAGACGATAGCTTCAAAACTGAGAGACTAGTTCGCGTAGAAACAGACAGACAGACGGACAGACAGACGGACAGACAGACGGACAGACGGACAGACGGACATGCTCATATCAACTCAGGGGGTGATCCTGATCAAGAATATATATACTTTATAGGGTCGGAGATGTCTCCTTCACTGCGTTGCACACTTTTGGACAAAATTATAATACCCTCTGCAAGGGTATAAAAATGACTTATTCAAAACTCGAAGACGAATGTAAGGTCCCATGGATTATAAAAAAAAAAATTGATATAAAATAACAAAAAATAAATAAATAAAAAAGAAAATAATATTGATTCGTGGTCGAAGACTCACAACCGAATGAATTTCAAAATACCAGAAGCTGCCTTTTATAGGAATCAGAGCCCACTTCAAACAAAAGCTATGTAAATCCATAGGGTTGAAAAGTCCAGAAAAATATTTAAGGTGTTAAACAGCTAGATTCTTTTCTGCAACACTGTATATTAGAGCCGATTATATTCAGATTTAAATAGTTTAACTTAAATTGTGGGAAAAGAAACCCACAACGTCCACATCCACATGCTCCTACCAAAAGTGACTTCATAAAAGTGAAGTTTAAAGTGGTCGGACGTTTTCAAAAATGTACCAAAGATATTTATTTACAATGCATTTTAAAGTTGAAGGTATTAACATTTATAATTTGGTTTTATGAGATGGACCAAGAGATGGACCACTATGTCCCACCCCGAAGCATATATGTATTTTAAATATCCGATTCGGAAGCGGAGTACCTTTAACAATTTGTGGACCAATTTTTCATAAATCTGCAACAAAATCTAGAAACAAAATATTTTTTTATATTTTTTGTCAAATTTTCTGGCTATATCTTTTCCAAAAGATATTGAAGTCTTTGCGCTTGAGATTTGTCTGTACCTATGCGATTCTGAAACAATAAATTGAACTGTTTTTATCAGTTCCCATCAAAATATTAGACAAAAATATTTTTAAATTACTGGTCCCGGCGAAGGATGTAAAAACATTGCAAATAACCATCAGAGCAAACATTAATTTCGGTAATATAATATGGAAAACAATTCGGCTCACGTAGGCTCACACTTAAAAATATTTTTGATAAGCTTATCACTGAACTTAAAATAAATCCGATTATAATAGGCATTTATTCTCCTTGAGATTAGAAAAGCAATCCATCACACCCCACCGTACTTTTCTTCGTACTCGTCCATGATGGCAATCACCGGCTCGTTGACGTACTTTCTGACCTCCCGGTTAAGGGCGTAGTCCCCGTGGGTCCACATTGGGTCCAGCATGTGGTGCATCACCTTTTTAGGCAATCGGCTGGAAAATGTTTCAACATCCTCCACGGCGGCCATAGCATCGTTGTCTGAGTACCACATGTGCACTTCTGAGTTAATTAGCTCCACAGGATACTCTGGAGGCTCTTCGGTTCCGTAGATCTGAAGATTCTTCTTAGATCCATAGTCAAACTGCCGGAAATATCCAGATTGCTGCTCCTGCAAATAGTGAAGCATCTGATCGGTGGAACAACCTGCCGGATGGGTAGCCATGCCATCTGGCATTGCAGTCTGAAATTATAAATTTTTGTTTGTTTTATGATCTAAATAAATACATTTTTAATAAATAACGCTTACCATATTAACACGACCTGCTGAATAGAGAGTTTCCACGGTGTTTTCGCAAACCGGGCGCAGCAAGAAATCAGGTTGGCAAATATTAAAAAACAAGGACATGACGAAATCGTTATGAGGCAGGAACTCTTGAGCCCCAAAGAGAGTGGCATAAACACCTTGGTGGCCCAAATATGGGCCCAAGGCTCGCACTAAAGGATTTGCCATGTTTTTCATTATAGCCACCGGGGCAAACATGTGAGCCGTTTTAATTTTGTAGTTGTATTCAAAAAGCGAGGACATCAAAGCAAAATAAACGGTAGTGCCCTGCGAATGACCAACATAATGAAGAGCATCCTGATCCTTGCCGTTTTCCGTTCTAAGAGCATAATCAATAATGGCGGTAATATCGTAAATGGCGATCTCATGCCAACTGAATTGCCAGAATCGGGGGTTTTCGGTCGACAGAGTCGAGTGATTTCTAGAGTAGGCTGTGCCTCGCGCATTTCCCATCCAGACATCATAGCCAGCATCGGCCAGCAAGTACGGAAGACTATCATCAGGTCCTTGCAATATCCAGGCATCGGAGCAGCTAGATAGTCCATGTTGCAGAAATGCAATAGGTCGTTTTTGGTTTTGGTTCTGCAATTTATGGGAATATGGGATCCGGAATACGCCCAATACATAGCCATCCTTGGTAGGAATATAATGATGCTCCGAAGGATATCCATGCGAGGCAATGCGATCAGCCTGGGTATAGGAAATAAGTCATGAAAATTTTCTTTTTAACAAACATTTTTTCTGTCAATACCCACTGTTGTCAATTTACCCTTGAGACTCACATGAGCCTCTGGATTATCGTACAGCTTGTAGAAATCAATCACTCCATCAAGAGCTGCCGAGTGTATTCCTGAAACTGCTAATCCAGCCAGGATAAGAAAAAGACTCGCAAACCGTTTCTTCATGTCTCCTTGATGGTTCGATTGCTACTGACTGTTGGCAAACACTTGACTCTTAACTTTTGTAGCAGACCCATGGGGGCTTATTTTCAAGTAACCCATACTATCAATGGTTCGATTAAATATATTTAGACATTTTTGATAAAGAATAAGGAAACTGTTAATCTAAAAGTCATAAAAATGGGATTGAAAATTAATGAAAAATTTGGTAAATCTAGTTTATACATTGGTTTGAATTAAAGTTTGGACAAACCAGAATCAGACGATAAGTTTCCACATAAGTTGAGAATCGAATAATTTACGAATATTAAACAGCATAAAATACCTTAGTCATTTCACCCCGCAAACACATTTTAAGTTCAATCCAAAAGATTAAAGATCGGGCAAATTTGGTAAATTCTAATCTTAAAAACTGAAATCAAAATAAACCATTAAAAGTGGGCTAGCCCCAATTTGCTTAACGCAAAACCCAACCGGTGAGAACGTGTGACTTATAATTAATATTATCAAAAACCAATCCAACATGTACTTCGCTGGGCTGAACTTATCTTATATTGAAAGCACTTAAAACAGTTCGATAATCTAAAGAAAGAATTTACCCCCACCGATTGGCAGCGTAGTTTTTTTAGATTACTAAGCCATTAATAGATTTTAAGAGGGTAGTTGTAAAATTTATAAACTCTACATGTATGTGGCGAAAATTGCTTTTTGATTAGAAGAGGCGGCTAACATCTAATGAATTAAATATGCACACGAGGAAAAGGCATTTCTACGTGAAGTGGAATCTGGTGGACCTTGTTCAATAATGAAGTATTCCCACTTTTGAACGTCTAAGCTGCATCCGTTAGTGATTAAATATTTTCACTTTTGGACTGATTTATATTAATTTTTATAAAGATTGGTTAACATCATTATAAAAGATACTTCTTTTTTATAAAGTTCATTAAAATATCATTTCATCTTTATTAATTATGTTCCAATTATTGAATAGTCTTCTGATCCCGGCTTTTAGAAAGGTTTCACGAAGCGCATATGTGTACATAAGTAGAATTTCAAAATATTGAGAAATGATCTCTAGTCGGAGAGTATTAAAAAACTTTGAATTGAATATTAAATATAGGAATTTTTTTTATTTTGTAACATGTAATATAATATCGTGATCTTAAACTAACTATATAACAATTGACATATTGTATGAAACAATTGTCGCATTTTTCCTTTAACCGAAAATACTTTTCTTGTGTCCTGTTTAATTGCAAATTATGGTTGCCATTGTCCAGGATCCAGGAATGAATCCAGGAATTTTTATGAATGAAATATATACATGGAAAAATATATGCATGAAGTGGAAATCTTTGGTACCTCTCGAATTTGTATTATCTTTTTAATCATCACTTAGTTCTGGCCTCGTACTCATTCATGATAGCTATAATCGGATCGTTGATGTATTTTCGCACTTCCCAATTATTTGCAAAATCTCCATGATCCCACAAAGGATCCTCCATGTGGTGCATCACTTTATTTGGAAGGGTTGCTGCCACCTGCAGGACATCCTCCACGGCAGACATATCATCGTTATCCGAATACCAGAGATGCATTTCAGCGGTAATTTTCTCCGTTGGATAATCAGTGGGTTCTTCGGATCCATAAACGAGCAAATTCTTTTTTGTGCCAAAATCAAACTGGCGGAAATGTGTTGATTGATGTTCCTGCAAATAATGCAGAACTTGGTCGGTGGATATTCCAGCTGGCATGACACCAGATATTACTGAGTTAGCGGTCTTTAGGGAATTAAAAAATTAAAAATTAGATATGCATGACACTAAAAATGTATCTGTACAACCCACCGAATTGGTTCGTCCTTGTTCCACAACTGTTTCCTCTTCCTCATCGTCGCTGCAGAACATAGACATCACTGGAGATTTGGGGCGACAAACGTTGTAGAAAAATGCCAGGACCACATCGTTGTGGGGCAACAATTCTTGGGAGCCAAAGAGCTTTGAGTAAATATTGTTGAATCCGAGAGTGGGCGACAGAGTATTGACCATAAAGTCTTCCATTCTATGCATAAAGGCCACTGGGGCCAGCAGGTGAGCAGTCTTAATCTTGGCGTTATATTCCGGCCGCGTGGACGGCAGGACGAACATGACGGTGGTGCCTTGGGAGTGGCCCACGTAGTGGATGCCCTCCTGACCCTTTCCGTTTTCGGTGGAGAGCGTGTAGTCAATGGCAGCGGCAATGTCGAAGTATCCAATCTCGTGCCAGCTGAACCGCCAAAAGTTCGGGTGCTTCAAAGAAAGGGAAGTGTGGTTCTTGGAGTACCTATTTCCGCGGGCATTGCCCAGCCAAACATCGTATCCCGCGTCGGAAAGCAGGAAGGGAAGGGCATCATCCGGTCCCAGGCTTGGCCAGACATCAGAGCTGCCGAAAAGTCCATGCTGAAGGAAGGCAATGGGTCGCTGGACATCCTGATTCTGCAGATTGTGCGAATAAGGAATGCGGAACAGACTGATAATGTAGCCATCCTCAGTAGTCACATAATGCCGTTCTGCTGGATAACCATGATCTTCAATAAATTTAATCTGTTAAAAAATATATTAAAAATTTATTAATTTATTTTTTTTGTTGCCAAAAGAGGAATGTAGTTCTTACCGTAGTTGGAGCTTTGGCCAAAGTCAAATGAGCTTCTGGATTATTAAATAGCTCATAATAGTCAGGAACATCCGCAGGACTTTGTTCCTTCTCAAGAGGAGCTCCCTGTACGATAGCCAAAACAGTGGCTAAAACAAAAAGTGGTCGAGACATGTTCAAGCTAAACTACGAAAAAATTTTAGACATCGCTCCCTTTTAAAGACCACCGGCAGCTTCGATTAAAGTGGCAATATTGATAGCCAACCAATCAGCGAAACGACCAACCAATTAAAAGATCATAAACACGGGTGGTAGAAATATCGTAAACGAATATCAATTCCATAAACAAACGGCAGAACTTTTATCACACCTTAACTTAACTATAGAATATGCTTTCTTTTTTTTTTGGGAAAAACATGCATTAGGGGAGATATTGAGGATTTTCCGCTTCAATTTCTCAATTCAAAAAAAGGGAAATTCCCACGGAATGTTTATTGAACGTAATAATGTTTATGAGTTTTTAATGGTTATATGTTTGCCGGTAGTTTAATAGTTCAACTTTTAAAACACTGAAAACAATTATTGAATTTTTTAATAAAATATAATAAATATTTATTAAGGAATAAAATATTTTAAATTGGCAACAAGGGCACCTACTTCATCTTAAAATATTAAACAGATACACTTTTAGCAACGCACGCGTGCCGGAATGCGTTTCATTTGATGGTCTTCGCCAACTTTCAGGACTGCCACCATACCTTGTACAGAATGGGCTTCAATATGGCAATGGTATAACCAAAATCCAGGATTATTAGTGACAAAGCGAACTATTATGTAGCCGAGACCCGGAATCTGAACTGTGTCCTTGGCCACTGCGACATAGTCATCATTCAAACGGGAGAGGCGGCCTCGACGATCAAGTTCTCGAATCTAAAAAAAATAGTTTTTAAAAGTAATATTATTAGGCTCCAATTAAAATATGATCCTTACATTACGTGCATCGTTGGCATTGCCAAGGACTCCCTGTCCCACCAAGCGGAACGTATAGCCATGGAGATGGAAGGGATGTGTGTTGTCCATTAAGTTAGCCACCACCATCTCAACATGCCTGTATGCTGGAAAGCGGATCACGTGAGTACACTCGCACTGCTCCCGTTCGCAATTACGACCCTCGCGAGCCAGAGAGCTTTTGTTGCAAAAGTAACCGTCGTCCTGGTAGAGATAACGACCCTGCAACAGTGATATCGCCGGGGAGATGTAAGAGATGTCATCGATCTGGAATAGCTCTTCTCCATTGGGTGCCATTCGCGATCCGAAGGTAGAGTAGTGGGTCAGGAATTTTGTGTAGCGCGACCAGGAGACTGGTTCCACGGAACGCAGGGCCACCGTGCCTACGTTGTTGTCCTTGTCCAATGATTGGCGCAGGGAGGATTTATCGGTTGAATTTGGCGACCGGAAACGGTAATCGTTGACCCAAACGGAGTCATCCTCCTCAGAGCGGCCTTTCTGATTCTCTAGGACGCTTCCTTGTGGCAGTTCAGTGCGAGCAGATCCGCGATAGCTGAGCACAGCTCCTTGATAGAGATTTCTATCCTCACACATCTCATACCCACGCACCCTGATCCAATAGTTCTTCGCATACTGATTGGCCTCCAAGATGAAATCAAATCGCTCGGCGGAGGTCAGGAAGAAGCCATCTGCCAAGACAGGCTCGATGTCATTGCCATCGGTGCTGATGATTAAAAGTTTATGTTGTTCTATGGAAAACTCCACAGGACAGTTGGCGATTCCATTAAGGACCACTCGCATCCTGTAGCGGTAGCCCGGCGTAACTCGAAGTTTTTCGTACCGATGGCGATTGTCATTATCGGGTAGCTGGCTGAGATGGTTGCGCCCTTTTCCATTCACTAGGATATTGCGAACGTCCTGCAGGTTGTAGTTGTAAAAGATGTCCTGTATCATCAACGTGTGCTCCCCGAGATCATAGTCATAGAGTTGGGCGTGGACGTTCTGCTGCCGCGTTTGGCGGACGATTAGGGCCCCTGCCACACCGAAGCCCCTCTGCCAGCCAACGTGACTGTGATACCAAAGCAAACCACTCCGATCCACCTGGAACTCATACCGCTGGACTTCGCCCGGCTGCAAAGGATACTGGGTGGCGTAGGGAGCGCCATCCATTTCGGGAGTACGTTTCATGTGGACACCGTGCCAGTGCATGGAGGTGGGTTCACCCAGATAGTTCAGTACGTCAACCACTATAGTATCATTTTCGCACAGTTCGATCGGAGGTCCTGGCACCATTCGATTAACTGCCATCACAGGAGTGGCGACGCCATCGCCGAAGATACAATGCTCCGCTGCGCAGGCCCTTTCGTCCTGCTGACACCTCTGACACTCTGGGCCCAGTCTCTGGTAATTGTGAACCACTAGCTGGTAATAACAGTTCTGGGACTGACCCTGCTGGCACACTCTTCTGCACGGGTTGCGATCAAAGTCTCCAAAGTTGGCCAACTCCATCTGGCTGTAATCGTTCTTTAAATCCAGATCGTTGAGGGACGAGTGGGTGTTCTTGTTGGTCTTGTTGCGGCTCCAAGGAAACGATGGCCACTCGAATTTAGCCTGCTGCGAGTCCTCGTCGAGGACCTCGGCCTGGAGCTGAGCTACGCCCAACACCAGGAGCAGTATCAACCCAAGGCTGAGAAAACTTTTACTTTCGCGTTTAAACATGACGAGCCGCGGCGGTCAACTGGCCAGTTCGGTTGTGAGAAGCCGGCGAAGAAAGTTTTGGCCCAGTGGGCGACCCAGACCTTTGGGCATGCGCCGCACGTATTAGCCATTAAAGCTGAGCTGAATTTGATAGGCTCGAAAACACTGAATTATTCGGGGACTTACGGATCGACACCTGGTGCACGAGATCGGTAAAGTAAGGGGCTATAGTTACATTACTTAATAACTCTTTTTTAAAAACAAATAAAAAAGATAATTTAAATTACATTTTTTTCAAATGGTTTATAGAAAATATATTAAGTAAAGCCTGCTCTATTGGATGAAATGGTGTTGGATTTGACTTTAAACACCAAACCCCCTTAAACTTGATACTCCTTAAATGTAAGAAGGAATATTTATTAATAATATTTTACGGGAAGTTTATAAAAGTTAATTAGGCCTCCGGAGTTGCAGCAGCTGGTGGGGAAGTAGCCATGCCACCAGCACTGGCTGCCGTGCTCATCAGACTTATCACTCCGCAGGCAATCGAGGGCCCTAGGGAGTTCTCCTCATTCTGGTAGGCCAAGGCATTGGGCATGGGCTGCAAAGAGGACGAAAACACCTCCGCATTTAAGGCCGTGTTCAGGTCAATGGCCTTGCTGTGGATCACTATGGACCGGCCCACAATGCCATTGAAGCCAAACAACTGTAAATATATGCTTTGAAAAACGGCAGAAATACTGCCATCGTCCTTGGTATCCACATTTCCAAGCTGGAATTTAGGAAGATTAGGGTTAGGAACTCTAACTACTAGGAGAATTACTTACAAAATTATTGGGAAACTGTCCTCCTGTGGATTTGCATCCATCACTTACATCTCCGAAGGTATGGATGTGCAGGGCATGTTTTCCAGGAGGCAATCCTGTCACATTAATGGTTACCTTGATGTCCGAACTATAGGGCAGCTGCTGGAAAGATATCATTCCTGCTACTCCCGCCGCCTCACCATCGCCCATTAACTTGGCTCCAGCTTGCCACTGAGGTACTAACTGCTGGGAAAACGGAGAGTCATGAAATTGGTTAGTTCATAAATATGATTAAATATATGTAAATATGGTTAAATTTGTTAACACTACAATTACATTCAATTTTAAATTAGACCTTCAATTACAATGTAATTCAACACTTTATACTATTATTAACCCTTTAAAAATAATTTTTAATGAAACTTACATAGGTGTATCCCAAATAAGCCGGTTGTGGCGGTAGAAGTGGTCCAAGCAGTCCAGCAGCCCCAGGTATCCCTGCAGGACCTCCCAGCGGCACCGTCAACCGTTCGTACCGCTTGACTTTGGTGCCGGAAACCACTTTGATTCCGTCATCCATTCGGGTCATGTTCACCGGGCGCAGACGATCCAATAAATTTTGTGCGCAACCGGGCGCGAAAAGACCACCATATCCAATTACCAACACCAGAATTAGTTTAATAAGCATTGTAATGCAACTAAAAAATAGGTTTGGGACTCGAAAATACGGGAGAACTGTCAACCTTTCCGATCCGGGGCTTTGGATGAACTGATCACAGTGCCAGACCCGGCCCATCCATGATGACTTCGACATGGTTTTCATGCTGATTGACCAAGTTAATTGTTGGCATCGGATCGGAATGGATTTGGCCAGTTGTGGTGGCGATATAGTGGCCATATAGTCGGCTCGGTTGATGACTAGATTGGACGCTAATGGCAATTGAGTGTCGCGTGTATTTGATGCTTGGTTACTTGTCCCAGGGGCGTAGTGTTGCTAGGGGTTGGGGCTTTATTCAATTAGTTACTCCAACTATGTATTACATGTCTTATTCATCCTCTGCAGAACCAAGCCTATGTTTCTGAATTGTAAACCCCATATGAATCTATTAACTATACAGACCCTATATTATTTTTTTAGCCACCTGCTATACTTATAGGTGCAAATAATTAAATTATACAGCTGAATTGTTTATAAAATGTACCCACAAACGATTTGCAAAAACTAGATGGTACATATAGATAGTTGTACTGTTTCAGACGAATAAATAGACATATCTAAATTTAAATATAAATCCATCAATTAAACAGAAAATAGGTCGTTGGCATATTGAAAGCGAAAATGTTAACCCCAATTTCAAAAAAGCGCAATCGACACGCGAGATTTGCTAGCAAAGCGATGACATAGATAGTTTATTTTTTAAACGGGCAACCATTCGCAATTATAAACATATTCGTATAATTTGGCAATAAATTAAACTGGGTTATATGTCGGTAATAGTTAAAAATAAAAGGATCAGTCGTTTTAGTGGCCCTTTCCATTGGTAACTGCTTAATATCAGGTATCGAGATCATCGATAGCCGCCGCCGCGATGACCGCCGCCTCCACCACCGCGACCACCTCCTCCTCCACGGCCACCGCCTCCACCACCGCCGCGTCCTCCGTTTGGATTCCAGCCGGTGCCCTGGACGCGTCCACTGCCGCTTATCCACTGTTGATCTTGATTTCTATCACGACTTCGATCACGATCACGTTGATGTTGAGGTTGTTGCTGTGGTTGCTGCCAATTTCCACCACCTCCGCCGCCTCCACCTCCGCCTCCTCCTCCTCCTTCCCTTCCGCCACCTCCTCCTCCTCGACCACCACGGAAGTTACCTCCTCCACCCCGTCCACCGCCAGGAGGACCGCTAGCTCGCTGCTGTTGCCAAGAAGGCATTTCCGGTGGCGGAGGAGCATGCTCATTAGCACGACCTCCTCGGTCTGGAACGCTGCCAATCACATGCTTCTGTATCTTAGACGCGGTGTTTTTCCTCACATTTGCTGAGCTGGTCTTCTCGATTATGGCCAAATCCGTTCGTGCAGCCAGCAAAGCCACCAAATTAGTCTGTTCTCCGCCTACTTTGAACTGCTCCAGTTCCCTCATCTTTCGCTGAAAACGATCCATTATCTCGTTTTCACGATGGCGCATGGACTCCGACCACTGGAAGCTCTGAACAGTGGCCTCCAGACGAGTGCTCATCATTTGGCGACGGAGATTGTACTCCGCCTCTAGATCCCTGTGCAGTGACTCCAGCGCACGCCACTGGGAGTCGTTGAGGGGCTTGTTAAGATGCAGTAGAGGTTCGCTCACCACCTGGCGATTAGTTTGTTTCAGAGACTTATCCAAGCTGGGTATTAACTTCTCGAACAGCAGTTTGGTGTTGATGTTTTTTGGCAGCTCACCCAGCTGCAGATCCTTCGCTAGTTGCTCGATAGCCTGCTGGGCGTTTGACTCAGTTTTCGAACGTTTGCAAGGTGGTCCTACGGGCTGGGCCTTCAACACCATCTTGGTGGCCATCAGCTCGGAAGTGAGGTATTCAAGCAGCTGTAACAAAGACTCCCGAGTTTGGAATCGCTCCTCAATGGGACCAGCAACGAGCTTCCGATACGGGCAACCCAGCTCAGTGAGCAGCAGGGAAAGTTCAAAGGCGAACTCGTCGTGGTCTCCGCTGCCAGAACTGACGCGCTCGTCCGTTTTCCGGAGTACATGCAGCTCCTGGGCCAGCCAGTGGAGCACCAACCGCAGTGCCGGACTTCCGATGCCTCCATCCAGCGCCCTGCTGAGGTTATCCTGCTGCAGGCAAGGTCCCTTGTAGGCCAAGGCCTGAAGCGAGTCCACCACGTCCAGTTCAAGTTCCATTCCTTGCTGTTTCGGTGCCGGTGTTTCCGTGCCGACCAGACTTAATGTTTCTTGTGCTTTAGGTTTTTTAACGTGACCAGATTTTTGGTCACTTAGTGGAGCTTGAAACGTTTTGCATCACTGATTTCCTAGCACTGCTATTTTTACCTTTTACAACACTAAAGATAAAAAAATACCAAAAATGGCGCGTTATTTAAACAGATTCAGATCTTAAAGCTTCGGTCTCAAAAGTTCAATAAACTTAAAAAGACAGACTATTTGTATTTTTGCATAACTTCATTTATTGTAGTTACCAATTTCAATATATATATTTATTTATACATACACATACATAATTATGCATATATAATTAATATTTATAAGTATAGTATATATGTATGTATTTTTTTGTTTTGTAAAGCAGGAAGTTTTAGGATTCGCATGAGTCACACCTTTGGTGCCACAAACATCTCAAATTTTTGTTTTACTCTTCTATACATACAACATTGATGTACTTAAAATGAACACACACATTTAGCTATATAATATATATACGTAATAATATTCAGTTACTTCATGTCTTCCAAAATAGGTACTTAAATAATTTAGAAACAATTAAGAAAAATGGCAAAGAAAGCAGAAGATAGGACAGACTACGTTCTGTAATGCAAAACACAAATTTTTCCCATCAAGACAATTAAAATGGCACAAAAATAAATTCCGCACGGAAAACCACATTCCACATTCCGCGGATAGGGCTGTCCAGGCCAGGTGATTTAGGTGAAGCTATACTGGTTGTCGACAGCCCGTCCGGTGCATTCGGCACCCGAGTTGGAGCCCGCTGCTCCCCCGCTGGCGCTGTTGTTGCCACTGTCGCTGGGATGTCGTGATTGTCCTGCCGGATGATGGTGAGCCGCCGCCTGCAGCGAGGCGTTCGAGGCCCGTAGATGCGGTTGATCCAGAAAACTCTGGGCGGCTGGTGGCGATCCATGCACGGTTAGAGATGTGGGATCCAAACGGAAATAGACTTGGTCCGGAAAATATACGTGTGTTGGCTCCTGTGGCAGATCAATTTCGTTTGTCTTTAGGCGAACACTAAGATTCATGGTAATCACTTCGTTGCACTGTAGGATTAAGCGAGAAAATCAAGAGTCTTGGTCAGTCAATGGCATTACAGAGGATACAGGGGGGTGTGTGATGAAACAATTAGCATGCAACATGAACTCAAGCAGTTTAAACTTTTAACAAAACACGAAAACTAACTAAAAATACTAAAAGTTCTCTTGATTCAAAGCAATCTGAAGAAAATGTTGACTTGTATTTCAGTTGAGAAAAGGGTGAGATATAATTAGTTAAGATAAGCTCTGAATATATAATATACATATAGTATTTAATACTAATTATTTAGTATTGCAATTAACTGCTCTTTTTTTGAAAAATGTCCTTTACTCTTGGCCTTCATCTCTTACCTTTAATTCATATTTTTCAAAAATTCAAACTATTTAACCTTCATTTAATCTTTAACTCAAAATTCTAGTAAAATCTCTCTAATTATCTCAGTTCCTGAAATAAACAACCTTCTCAAGACCTAAACCTATCTATCTTGTTTCATTGCAATGAAATGATAAGAAATAAATAGAAATCAAAGTAAAATAAAAAACCATCACTGACACTGAATTGACTCCAAAATTTTGGCTATCTCACATGTCTCGGAGACGGATGACCACCGCCAGTTGCTCCCGCTCCCGCTCCAGTTCCAGCTCCACCCGCTGCTGCCGCTCCATTCGTATTTCCATTTCCATTACCATTGGTGATGGACAGATCATTTAGCTGTCCCGAATCATGACCTCCTCCTCCACCGGCTGCAGCGGTCGATAGATCGTTGATTCTGCTGTTGTTGAGGACCCAGTCGGTTAGGGTCACATCCGAAGTACCGCCCGATTCCAATGGTATCGGATTGTGGCGGAAGTGCTCGAGCATCTCCTGAATGGAGGGGAACCACAGGTGCTGCACCCGGCATTGCCCTTTCTCTGAAATCGTGAGGCGGAGGTGCTTGGCCCGCCCCTGAAAGTTGAACGTCAGCACGAACTCGCCTCGGCGCGTTTCGCTCTGTCTGACCAAAAAGTAACCATGTCCGGCAGCTTCTGATTGTAGAACCATTCGGGCCGCTTCCGAGCGAGTGAGTGTTCCGTGAAACCACGGGAATGAACTCATCTCAGCTGTCAGATCAGCCACGTTTATATCCGCATCTTCGCCGAGCTCCACGCCATCGAAATTACTGGAGGCCGACAAGCGTTGCTCGCCTCGATGTGGCCTCAAAGGTATGTCCGGTGGACCTGAGGGCGGTGTTGTGCCCAATTCGTTGATGGCATTCAAGTCATTGGCGGACGTGGCACCTCCTTGTCCCAAAGCACTGTCTGCGGACAGGGAAGAGGCGAGGGGAGGTCCTCCGCCGACAATGTTTCCGTTTGAGCCCCCATGCTGATGGTACTGCGGGTTCTGGATACCGCCAATGGGATTGGGGGTTGGGTTAGTGGGCGAAGTCTGCATCGCAGCGGCCATCACACCATCGGACTCGATGAGGGGCTGCTGGGTGGGCGGCGTTCGCATGCAGTAGCGAATGGTGGCCAACCAGCTGCGCATTTCCTCGGCGTTCTCCGCCTCAATCACGTATTCCATGTTGTTGTCCGCTTTGAGGACAAAGGTGTTCAGCCTGTCGGGCATCTCCAAAATCGTTGTTTCGCGCGCCTCCGAGATGAGGAAACAGAAGAGGCCACTGCGTGGCTTTGTCGACTTGTTTGGATAGAACTCCAGCATGTAGCCGCCCACGGCCTTGACCAAAACCAACTTGCAGCGCTCCCATTTCTGTGAGCCCGTCGGCTGGTCCAGACTCTCCGGGGTGAGGTTGTTCACCCAGCCCTCCTTGCGGCACTCGACCGTGATCTTGGCCAGCTTTGTCTTGCTCTGCTTGCTGCTTCCGCTCCCGTCCAAGTCGTCGGAGTTCTTGTGGAAGAAGGCCTGTATCACAGAGAACTTTGAAAGTTGAAACAAGTGGGTTGAATATAGCCGAGGGCTCCGACTATTTAACTAATCTTAAATATTGAAACTAATGGCTATAATTAACGTTTAATTATAAAGTCTGCTTTACTCACCTTGCCCTTGCGCAGTCCCTTGAAGGAGAGTCTCCTGAGGAGGGACTTGGAAAGCAGTCGGGGTACCTCGTGCTCCTCATCAAATTCCACCGACCCCGCCCCCGACTTCAGTGTGCTCCGCCTACGAAAGAACTCTGTGTCGTAGTGGGCTGAAAAGGACTCTACGAATTTCTGGGCGAAGCTGCGGTGCTGAATGTTGCGCGCCTCCTCCGGGGGCAGATTTCCGTTTATGTAGGTGATGCAGGCCTTGGCAAAGTCGGAGGCGGCCGCCTTGGCATGGCGCTCGCAGAATTCTTCCCAACTGGTTCCCCCATACGCGTAGGAGGACACTCCCATGGCGTTTCCGGTTCCAATAGGTGCGGGTATGAGGTCGCTGCCACCGGCAACCGCCGCTGCTGCTGCCGCCGAGGTGCCCAAGTTGTTGTGGCTGCTGGCAGAGGTCGGTCCAATGTATCCGCCCGCGCTGAAGGCGCTCGAGTTGGTCCCAGTGCTGTTGCCACCCATCTGGCCGAGCGCTTGCCGCTGATGCTGCTGCTCCTGCCCCTGTCGCTGGCGGTGGCGGTTGAGGTTCAGTTTGCCGCACAAGTTACCCAGCTGGAGTCCTTTTTCTGAAAGCACTGCAAAAGCACTGGCTTAAGTTAGGAAAGAGTCCTTCAGTAGTAGCATTGTTGCGTAATGTGGACCTGGGCAAGCCTCTGGTTGGGATTCAAGGCTTGTATGATGTGAGGTGGCATTATAAAGTGGATGCGCGGATCAAACGGATGAAAACAGGGTTTCAGAGTTTTAAAATTAAACAATTTAAATTAATTAAATAGATTTCCATCAGACAAAGCATAAGGATTCCCAAATTCCAAAATAAATACATATGTACCTTTTGTGTACATAGTTTCCCATAAATTCGATTCATTTTTTTATATACTATATGGAAAACATTATTTTTTAAATCGTTACTAGTTCCCCCCCTAATGGGCTGGAAGAAGATGGAGATAAAGATGCGATCCGAACTAGAATCAATGTTTATATGCACAAGTGCATTGGTACACCTCTTTGTGCATACAAACATATGCACATAAATTCGTCTGTACATTGCCGGATGTACGCATATGTACATCAAAAACACGCATTTTGATGCCACTCTCACACACATACGCCCACTATTGCACACAGGAATTTCCACGCCTACGACCCGCGACTTGAGTGGCCAGTGGCCAAAAGTAGCCTTGGGAGGACGCCTCCCACACATGCACCGTACCTTGATGTTTAATATTCACAATATTTTCCACCGGTTTGTTTATGCAACGGTTTGTTTTTTTGTTTTATGCAAAATAACGCATTTACGCAGCACTTGTAGAGGTGGAGATATATCGATAATCCGGATTACATCGATGCATCGATAATTTCGTCGTTTTCTACTCATCACTGGAATGGCTCTCTTGCTCTCAAGAGAGAATTTCCCTTTGCTGCTCTTTGAATCGGAATGGAAATTATGAACCGGTAAAAGAGTTGGGGAAATAATTGTTTAAATTAAATATAAATTGTTTTCCAAATTAATTATTGTAGTATTTTTATTAAATGTATCGAAAAAAATGTGTCAAATTTAAAATTTATTTTCATTTCTGTGGTACCAAATTTTTGGTTATTGAAGCCATACATATGCATAAGTATGTAGATACTAATTATCTAAAAAGTCCTTTTTTTGAATATGAATATATCAGGATCCCCCATACGTTAAAAAACTATTGACTGAATACATCTAATATGTATTTATTTTTTTAAAGATATAATTTCCCATAACTTAACGCTAGAAACCGCCATATCCTTGGGATTTAAGTTAAGGTAATTACAGTCTCCAACTTCTATAAGAATTAAAGAACCGGTTTATCGTTTAAATCTCACATTTTTATTGTTTCTATACTTTACGAAATTGCATTTACTTAGAACTAATATGTAACTGTCGTTTCCATATGCATACCATAATTATTATTTTGTAAACGTAAAAAATGTAAATTCTTGAAACATAATTTTTGTGAAAGTCACGCAGTGCAACTGTCGTTTGTTGTTTTTTTTTATTGATCTGTATTTTTATTTGCTTATTTATTGTTTGCAACGAACACATGCATTTGGCAAAAACATCATTTCGATATTATGAAGATAATGGAGACAGGGGATTACAGGGAAGAAGGACGGAAATGGGCATGTGATACGGAAACGAGAATCAACGAAAGTGTGAAGGCGAGCTTACTAACTATTATTTGTTGCATGGTGGTTCGTTATCAATATGCATACGTACATACATACATCTTTATAATATGCATAAAGCAACTTAAGTATTTACAGAACATACTGCCCAGAACAGATTTGGAAATGGATGTGGATGCGGATGCGGATGCTGTCGAAATTCGAATCTCAAAATGTCTGTAGTCTTGCGCTATCGTTTTGCATTATTAGAATGCTTACTGATACAATAGTAATACGAATGCATTAATCTCTATGAATTGTAACTAATATTTCGCTTGATCTTTATCCTTATCTACGTAATAGCATGATTGAAGACCTTAAAGCCAATTTGAATGAACTTCCGGATGTAGTAGGTGTAGTATATGCATATATAAAACTTTCTGCTTACACTAGAAACTATAATTACTCGGTTGTGGTTTTATTTCACTATGAAAACGAGGATCACCTAACTTAAAACGAAACTTAGTTAAGTTGAGTTAAAAAATACATTCACACTCAATGTGTTAAGAGACAAACGTTTCTTTAGATCTTGTTTTGCTTGTGTGTGTTTTTTGAAAAATAAACCTTTTCAATATTTCGTTTGTTTTTCTTTGCTTTGAGAAAGAGCACACTCAGACTTCCAGTTGTTTTGATGGTGGTTGCGCGATGAACGGCTCGCTCCACATTCGACGCAGGTCGCCCTGTAATAACATGGTTATTATACATTATTCAAACTAAGAAATACTAATATTACCTTCAGATAGGCCATTAGTAAAAGAGGCAATAACGTAAAGGGCACCAAGTACAGTAGTGCAGGCTGAGCCGCCTTGAAGACCTCTGAGCTCACCGTAGCCGTTAGCAGACCCAAAAAGTAACTAAAATAAAATAATTTCATGAAAATTGATTATTACAGTCGGTAAGACTACTTACCCCAATAAGGAACAATGAAAATATGTTAGCCGAGAGCCTACTCCACGGGGCGGTGAGAGCGTGGGATCCGAGGTGACGCCTTGCGACTTCTTGTAGGCATCGTAACGCAGGACGAAGCACAGCAACAGGCCGGGCATCACCACATCGCCCAGGCCCAGCATCGAAAAGTGGCCCGAGTTGTGAATACTGGGAAACACCAGTTTTCCGGGCAAGTTCAGCTTAGGCGTGTCCCGCACGATTCCTCCTAGATTAAATTTTCTAGCTACGATGCCGACGGGATTCTCGGCGGGTCGTGTGGCCACCTTGACCATTACGTTCGTGCTGAAGATGTATGAGGAGAGGAAAACCCAAAAGACGTCGTAGATGAGCAGGCCGGTCAACAGCAGCGTCGACACCTTTAAGCTTGGCAGCCGAACGAACGCGATGAAAGCCACACACAGGCCCATACCCATAGCTGGATAAGAAATATCAATTATTACTTAAAATATTATATTTAAGATGTAAACTCACCGTCCATTAGCAGCCAGTGCCCGGTCAGCACCCAGATACACACAATCGACACCGAGAGCGTAAAGCTAAAGAGTTCCGCTGCCGTGAAGCGTCCGCATATGCCAAACGAAAAGCGCTTCCCGTCCGTACACGGCCGGATGATGTACTGGCACATGGGCAGCAGCAAGAAGGCCAATGCCACAGTGGCAATTACTAGAAAGGACATACATTAGGACAAACTTTCTTTGAAGGACCTTTAACTTACTGGCTGTGCACACGGCGAAGAGCAGCTGCATCGAGTCGAAGAAGAAAAACATAATAAGCAGTGATATGGATGCTCCTAGTGGCAAGCAAAGGGCGTGCATCGTGTCCAGAGTGGCGAATTTATCAGCTAAGATTTATAAGAAAGAATGTTATTAATTAAACATTTCAAAAAGTAAGAAGCTAGACAATTACTTGGCTCCTTCTCCACCTGCTCGCCGGTCAAGAGATTAGTCGTCGACTCATTCCGCTTCTTCTGTTCCCGTTCCCGAGCCTCCTGCTCGATGTTTAGGCTGCGAAAGCTGCCGTAAACAATCAGCAGCATCGATATTAGGCAGGTGGAGACGCGCGACGAGTCCATCACACTCGATACTGTCCAGTGGAGTTCTCGGTACTCTCCACCGCCTGCGCCGCCACCACCTGCTGCTGCCGCTGCTGCTGCCGCCGCCGCTGCTGCTGCTGCACCGCCACCAAGGTTGCCGGCCACTACCGTTTGCGCTCCCAAACCGCCGCTGCCGCCGGCGCCGCCGTGCGACATGCTCCCTTTGGGTCCTCCGGGTGCCGGTACCTGGCAGTTGCCTTTACTTTTCTTCTCTTATACTGAAAAAAATAGATGGCATTAAAACTTATTAAATTTTAAATATTATATAGGTATATTTTATGACAAAATATAATATTTTTGACTGTGTACCTGGATGAGTTGGGCGATAACGTCTCCGCTTATCTGTCGAGTTGCGCCGGGCTTATCGCGTTTTTATGATGGTGCGCCGCTTCAATCTAAACACGAAAGAAAAGTGAAATTTGTTTTGGTTTATTGATTTAGTGATAAAGGCTGTGTCTATTGACCCTATCACTGGTGTCCCCCACCCCCCGCTAATATTCACATTTTTCTGACATATTCAGTGTTTACTTTCCAAAAGTTCTTTGGACAGCTGCGATTCCAAGTACACACTCGCAAGGTTTGTTTTCCCCAGCTAGGGTTTGGAAACCTTGGGGTCAACTTTCATGCTCCACTTGAGGAACTTGAGAACAAACACAAACGCTCAATTTAATTATATAGAAATGAATAAACTGGTACCTCCAAGAACTTGGAAGCCATGGAAGTTTATATTTGTTTGGGTTCCAGGCAGCCAAACAATGTTTAAAAATAAATGATTTATTTATGTCTACAGTTCCAAATCCAGGAGATCGGTGGAACTGCATTCGGGCAAGCATTAGATATCATGTAAACAAACAGGTACACAGATATATAATCTTTCAGAATTATAAATACTATATATCTCCAACTATCTACATATGGCATAGCCCGATTTAATATTCAAGAAGAAGGCCACAAAGGGAGGGAAATAAAAATAGAATGAATTATAAAAGCGTTACCCAGTTTCTATGAAGTCTGGGCCATTGTTATCGCCAACAGTAGTGCTGTTGTAAGTTCACACATCTGGCCAAGGCACATACCCAAACACCCACACACCCACGCAGGGTTGTTGCACTTGGAAAATGTTAAGGCGCTGTTAGCGGAATAGAGCTCTGTTAACTCTGCTAATGATAATAGGAGGCAGTTGCCAACTTCCCTGGTGGCTTTGTTGTTGTTGCTATTGGATGTTGCCAAGTGCCGTTGCTTGCACCAATTTATGCTGTCTGTTGGCCAAGGCATAAGCTGCTGTCGTACTTTAAACGCATTTGTAATTTTTTATGGAATGCAAATGATTAAAATTTGTCAACAATAGCGGTTGACATACTAGGTACGGAGGCAGAAAATAAAATATAGCAAGTTATTACTATATTTGGTAGCATTATTAGAAGTACTAATATTTTGCATACATTTTTTATTCAAATTAGTCCTATTGTTTTCCCCCCATCTGTGCCCGCCTCTCATTCCGCAATTGTGTTGGTGTTTGTCCCCTTTTTTTATTTCCATCTCTCACTCTGGATGCAACAATTTTGGTTCCCACACACCGCAGTTGGCAAACGATGGGGGCCGGGTAGTGAATTGTTAACGAGCACTAATTAGAATTATATTTTAGGTTCAGATACACAGATGCAGTATACAGATACAGATATTAATTGCCGTTTTTTTTTGAAACTTTATGGCTGTCATGCCGGTTACCAAACACCATACTATCCACTATTAGCCAGAGTCATTGAGAAAATGCCGTTCATGTCACAACTTCGCACACACATACCCCGACACTTTCTAATTTAAAACGCCCCGAAGTGGTGGGGAACTGAAAATAAAAGAAGTCCCAGCCAGGCAATTGGTTTTGCTGTAACTGCCCGCAACGAATGTGAAAGTGAAATTTGCCAAGAAACCAGGGGAGTTGGAGAAAGGGGGGAGGGATACAGGAAAAAAAATCCATCAAATACTGAACATTTTTTGGATTAAAAGATACAAGATAAAGTATCTGTAGGAAACTTTTAAGCAAAAAAAGATGTAATAATAATTTTAATAAATAAAAATAATTAATATTCTTTGACTTTATTTCTTCAGGTGCCTTTTAGGCGGAAAGAGTACCTAAGCAAGTGCGTAAGCCTGGCGAAAAGTGTCTTATTATGCAAAAAGGGGGGCGGTGGGACAGAGACTGGCCTGTGCAGTGCCTGAGATATGCTCATTTGGAAAAGCTTGGCCTGCGCTTTTAGGTTTTTTCCCGTTTTCGTTCGTGTTTGGTTACACTCCACTTCATTCCATAACATTAACAACAACAACAAAGTCAACTCCAACTTCGCTCCACTGCGTAACAAAATTACAAGACACTCACATACACTCGCAAGCGGAAACACACAACATTACTAGCGGGGAGTTTGGGGCAAGTGGGGATCAAGACTTGGCTTTAATTAAGCCACAAAAAAAAAAAAAACATATATTGCACTCTATACTCCAAGCTGGGGGACCTTTCGCTTACTTTGCCTTCACATTTACATTCGCATTTGGCTGTGTATTTGTTTTGTTTTTCCTTTGCACCGATTTTTTTTTTCGCGAGAAAAGGGTCTATGCTACCCTGCTACATATTCTCTACTTTTCAGCTGCGAGCCATTTTAATGCACTTTGCCACTCGATTCTCGTTGCCGTGCGCTAACGTCAGACAGCCATTTTAAACGTAAATCTAATAGTTTAATGTTTTCCACAGTGCCTCGGTGTTGGTGTTTTTCAGTTTGAGGGACCGGAGCAAAGCAAACTACGAAAATTTCCCAATGTGACCAGCTACTAGGCCATCAAAGTGGCCATACATATATATTTTTTTGTTGGTGCTGATTGGTCACACTAGAAACAATTCGATAGATATTTGGGGGTAACTAATCGGCATCTGGCAACACTGAAAGTCGACTCGAACGGACGCTTGCTGCGGCTCGATGTACAAATAAAATTTTTAAATAATTTGCAACGGTTGCAACGGAAAATTGCGCCAACGGTGGCTCAAAGAAAAGTGTTAAAAAAATAAATAAATAGTTATTTGATAAAAGTCCGCTGAGCAGGTCGAAAAGTGAAAAACGGAAATCGCCTTGCAGGTTGCAGTTAAATACGATTTTGCTGCAACCAACCGAGTGGCTGCAAGAAGCATCTAAAAAGTGGTGACAAAACCAGTTAATTCCAACCCACTTTCAGCGAGAAAATTAGTTAAAGAACTTAATCCGCAATGGGTCTCAACGGCTGCTGTTCGTGCGTCAAATATCTTATGGTCCTTATAAACATTTTGTTCTGGGTATGTAAGCTACAACCAAAATCCGAGATTCTTTTCTCCCATCACAACAACAACTGGAACAGGGACCTAAATCTGTGTGTGTGGTGGGTAGGTGGGTGTGTGTGGGCATGTTGCGTGGTTGTATGTGTGTGTGTGTGTTGTGTATTCCCGACGCCCCTTTGCTAGGTGGGCTGAAGATAGGGGGAGGGGCTGGGCAGCGCGCGCACGCTCTTTGAAATCGGCTCCTTTGGAGCCCTCCGCTCTTAGGTTCTCTCGCTTGTAGGTGCACAAAAAAAAAATAAATCTTTTACTGATAAGACGAAAAATAATATATTTTATTTGAAGTGAAAAGAACTCGAAGAAAAAATATAAGTAAATAACATTTATAAGATCATGTTTAATTAGTATTTTTATTTATTTTATAATTTTTTTTTATAAAAAAGTGATTACTACTTTATAACTTTTCATGCATTATTTGACTCCTCCACCCGCCAACAATGAGAATTCTTCTGGGAAGGGCAGCACCTCTTCTCCGCCCATCCTCCCACTGGGGCGGGCGCTCATCTTAGCAGCGTTTTTTTCTCTCTTTTCCATTTCTGTTTAGTTTTTTCTGCTTCTGCCCTTTTTCCTGTTTTTTATTTATTTTTTTATTAATTTTGTTTGTTTTATAACGCGCTCGTATGCAGGCAGAGTTTAACCAGAAAGGGACTTACATTTTGGCGATCACCCTTTCATCCCTACCAGAACTCCCAGAAAAAAGAGTAATATTTGCTGGACAGCTTTAATGATTTACGCAATTTTCGCCTCACAGCAGCAGTTTCATTAAACTTTTATCATTCTCTGGGCATTCACACTGAAATGTTTATGTTCACTTAGAAAGCTTGCATCTTATCTACAGGGCCTGTAGTATGGATGGACTTTCGAAATACGATTTTCCTTTTCGTTTGGGCATCAATTTATAATGTTGATGCTTATGCTGGTTGTTTTCATTTTTCAGTTCCTCCTCTTGGTTGTGGGTGCCTTTTTCGATTTTTGTCTATAGTATTTATTAGTCAAAAGCTATTTTCGAATACGGGCGAAACCAACAACAACAACACATGTGTCCGTTTCAAGATGTCTTAGTTTTAGTCGTTATTTTGTGCACAGTGGTGTGTGTTGGCACAATTATGAATAAATCTCAAGACCATGGAAATTGTGCAGTTTGTTTTATTAATGGTCTGGTCTATTTTTAAAGCTATGATGGGAAAAAGTACGTCAAAGACATTTATTTATAAATAAATGAGAACTAAGAATAACTAACCATTGTGAACCACTGTGAGCATTGTCTGAAATTCGTTTAGATTTCTCTCTACCCTGTGGACACTGTGCATCAGTTTCCAAACATTTCCATTTTCATCGTCGCTGTGGGGCATCGTGATCAAACGCCACGATCTCTGAGGACGCTGTGTTTCCGACGATGCCATGATCCCAGATCCGAGGGGCGAATACGGGTCGGGTCTGGACGGGAGGCCGATGCTGTCGCTTTCGTCATTGAAGTTGTCAGTGACCAAAAAAGCCATCCGTTGGCCATCCCGTCCAGTCCATCCACAAAAATGACTAAAAAAGTATATATTTTCAAGAAGCATTGATAGATTTAATTTTTTTTAATCATATATTACAAAAATAAACTTTGTAATAATTTGTATAAATTTTGTAATTTTTATAAATAAATTTAAACTATTTTTAGCCATTTACAAGACCCGATGTTCTATTTTCTCCTCAATTATTCGTCAGTGGCGCTTCATTTTCCATCTCTGATATAATTTCTGTCATGCGACTGCAGTTCTCAATCGATGCGGTTAATTGTGGCACAAAATAGCGACTGGAAATGTAAAGAGCATACATTGTATGTATTCTCACACCCGAAGTCCTCATCGTGATTCCAACTGGGTCTCTTGTGTGTTCCGCTTTCGACGCCTCGGCACTCGAAAGTGGGTCAACGAAGGACCTGCACATTTATTAGCCCGTTCGGCAGACTTTTTGTGTTTTTTTTTGTCATGGACACGCGACATAGTAAAAATGTTGTGAAGAAAAAAGGCAGGGATTCCATTGGTACATACAAAAAAATTGATACTAAATTGGGCTACCAAAAGATATTATAAAAGAAATTCTTAGTAAAGTGGGTCAAGACAGAAGTGGTACGATTATCTTGTTTAATATTAGTTACCATTTGCTGGCACTTTATGCTACTCCATAAACTACCCTCGTGTGGCGCAACATTGTATGATATTACATTTCCATGAACAGAGGCACACATATGAGCCATTGGGGCATAAGCGAGTACTTTGTGTGGCACACTTTTTTTACTTGCTCTTGCCAAAGAATTTAAAATTAAATATTAAGTTTTTAAAGAAGATTCATTTCAGTTCTTTAACAATTTTAAAACACAAAATTTATAGCAACTATATAGTCTTTTTGTTCTTAGAGGTCTTCTAGCAAGGTCTACTGCGTAATCTTATCTAGAAGCTGAGATGCTCCAGATTTCAATCAGATTCCGAAATGCAGAGTAGTTTTGTACAAACAAGTACATTTGTTGTATTTCGAAAAATATTTGTGTTTTGTAAGAGCTCTTTACATTGCTAAATACTTCTCAATTGGCTATTTCCTATAAAGCACATACACTGTGTATATCCCTTGATTAATTTTCATCTCAAACCCATTTTCTCTGGGATGAATAATTGAATAATTAATGAATATAAACACATACAATATATGACACAGTCGAGTTCTACCTATTAAGTCATTAGCTCTTATTAGATTTTCTCATTCAGTGCATGAATAAGAACTTGAATACAAAATTGGTTTTAAAAAATATAATATTTTATGATTCAGTTTGTAATATAAAGACCGGGTATATACTATATTCATTACTTTATATATTGCTGTTAAAAAAACAGTGATTAAAAAAGCCGATAAGAGCTGATTTTGCTGCTCAGATCAATGAATTATTTCTAAAAATAAATCCCATAATCAGTAAACAAAATAAAATAAAACTATAATTTTATTATTTCAACAAAGTTTAAAAATTTTGGAAAAGAACCCCCTACTCTTTTAATTTAATTAAAAGTAATAGAATAGAATAGAGAATATAATAGAATAGAATTTGAAACTTTCAACGTAGCTGACATCATAAGTTACGCAGCAGGGGCCACAAATGGGGTGGTAAGGGCGTGGCGAGACTCCCACTTTAATTGCCGCCCAACCAGATGGCGTCACTGACGCGTGCCTCCAGTATTAAAAATGCACTCTTCACAGAAAATCTTTACAAATTTTAAAAAAATATTTATTTTTTGTTTTGCAGATCATTGGATTGACTTTTGTCATATCCGCCGTATGGATGCTAACAGATCCCACATTCGTTCTGTCCATGTCCCAATCCTACCAGCACTACCAAATAGCCCTCTATGTCTTGCTGGGCATCGGAATACTGATCACTCTGGGCGCGTTCTTCGGCTGCTGGGGCGTGTGCCGAGAGTCGCAATGTTTTCTCGTTTCGGTAAGTAAAAAGTGGAGTAAGAACTTTAATTATATGCGAATTCCAATTAAAATGAATGCAGTTGTGTGGCCCACACTACTCCACTCCATTCATGTAATTGCTTTGGAAGTAGGGTTGTCAAATATTTTTAAAAATATCGTATCGATGATATTTTTTTTATCAAAAAAATATGATGATAATATTTAAAATATCAATGGGAAATATCGATATATTTGATATTTTTTGAATAAATTGTTTTCCTGCACACTTAGGGGGTTCTCTTATCTGTTAAATCTCGAACTAAAAAGACAAGTTGCCTAAATAATTATTTAATTATATTTTTATACATTGTATAAACTTAACTTTTATTTTATGATATACCAAATTAATCCCAATGTTTTGAATTTAGGGATTTTAAGAATACCCTTTGCTTTATGTGTGTGTCCGTCATATAATTTCAGCTCCTTATTGTCGGAAAAAAATAAGAAGCTGAAATTATAATTCAGCTTGTCTCAAGCTACGTGGAAAAGCAACCCATTGGATGTATAGAAATCCCATAAAGCGATCCCATCCATAAAATCCCATATCCCACTGCTAAACTTGGTACAGAAGATCAATCCACGTTGCTTTGAAATTCAGTGACCAAGGAAATAATATCCAAAAATATCAAAAACAAACATCGATATTTCGATATTTAGGCAAAAAAAATATTACGATATAAATATATCATTATTAGAATAAAATATCGATATATTGATATTTTGATATATTATCAACAACCCTATTTGGAAGTCAGCCCACATGGCAGTGCCAAGTCTGGGAATTTGTGGATGTATCATTTTCGGATCTCCGAGAGTTTATTTACTCAACGCCTACGCGGTTACCCCACACTCTGGCATTCATAAATTGTAAATATTCTTGCAGTTCTTCTGTGTCATACTGGTTGTTATGGTGGCCCAAATTGCGGCCGGTGCCTGGGCCTTCCACAATCAAGACAAACTGGACGATATCATTCGGGCGGCCGTCAAGTCTACAGTTCAGCACGAGTACGGGCAATCCACCATGAGTTCACAGACCGTGACCTTTGATGCGTTGCAAAAACAAGTAAATATTTGGAAATACTTTCGAGAAGACATTAAATTTATGATATTTATTTCCTCTCTTGTTTAGTTAAAATGCTGTGGTGCTGATGGTCCTGGAGATTGGGCCACAAGTCGCTTCAATAATGTGGATCGGACGAATATTGTTGAGATCGCCGTGTCTTCCATGAATGTCTTCTATAATATACCCGAGTCCTGTTGCAAGGAAGATCTAAAGGACAACGAATGTGAAATGTCGCGTCGTCTTAAGTTCGGGGGTCCTTTAAACCAAGCCATTTATCAAACGGTAACTAAGCGGAAAAAATAAAGCTATTTATTTGCTAGGAAGGAGGTTTTATTATAAACTCTTGTTTAAAATAATAGTATTTCCACTTAAATGTTACGACTTTCCATTTCAAGAATCCTCTATTAAATTTTCATTCTCTTTTCCGTTGAATAACCAAAAACCCATTAAAAGTCAATTGGCAGAGGTGGGTGCGACTCATAAGTTCTTGGATGAGCGATCATTATCGCTCTTTTCTGGCCATAAAAGTTAATAATCCTTTATATTGCCTTTGGGGTGTCTTTGGTCTGCCAATTCCCGTCTGCCGACGCTGGAACGCCGAGACGATAAAAAAAAGAGTTTTGATTAATATTTATATTCATGTCGCATATCAATTTTCGATCTGTTTGTAAGACGGCGCCCATGGAATGCGTGTCGCAAGCCAATTGAAAGAAATTTGAACTGCCTTCTGTGAGTAATGTGAGTGTCTTTCTGTATTGCAGGGTTGTGTGGACAAAATGATTGAGTGCGTTACTGAGAACTGGATACCTATTTTCGCCGTCACCGTTTCCATCATATTTTTGGAGCTGCTGTCTCTGACCTTCGCTCTGAGCCTGTGCTGTGCTGTGAGGAACAAACACTACAAGGCCTGAGAATTACAGAACTCCCATAGGGAGATCACAGACGATGAGAAGTACTAACAAACCAAAACAAAGCGAGTGCATAGCGAGGGCTACCACTGAAGCTGAGCAATAAAGGCAATGTACTTGCCAATGAAAAGGCTTGCACGATAGAGTCCGAGGCCCCTCGTCAATACTTTAGCAACCGAACCGAAACCGACAACAACCGAAACACACACAATTTTGTAGTACTTTTAACAACCAGAGGAAGTTGAGCAATTGTATTTGAGATACGACGCGTTTTGGAATTTGTGAACATTTTTTAAAAAACAAACAACAGGAGGTCAGGAATTCGTATAATGACGAAATCAACTTTATTTGAGAAAACGTAAACAAAAGAACACTTTTCTAAACCAAACTATTTCTACAAAAAAAAGCAAAAAACACAAACAGTAAACTCCGTATATGTATGAACAACTTAAGCAGCTCCATAATATTTAGAATAGCGAAAAAGTTTCGAATTCATAGACATACTATATATAAAATATATAGAGAAAAGCATAAGCACAAAAGAATAATGTTAATTGCCAAAACAAAAAAATGTAAACAAAACGAAAACTTAATCAAATTTCGTTCCATATTAGTTTTGCCTGTAAGACTTTTGATTAAAGCATACATATATTAAGTTTTTGTGGCCATTTTTATGCTAACACAATGCCAAATGAAATATGAGTACATCCACATATACACACGTATGTGACATATGACAGCATTCCACAAGAATGAGAATGATTGACAAATTTTTGTTCTGGACAAAACGCATTGCCATCCAAAGACCCAGCCCAAAATATTTTTCAAATCATTTTATTACCTTTGTGTAAAATGTTGTGCTAAAAACCGAAAACCAATTAATTCGTAGAGCTTCTCGAAATTGTATGCCAAATATTTTATACTTAACAAAATTGTAAATTATTTCATCAAAACATATTTATTTGAGCATAAGCAGACAAAGAGCTAGAACAAAATTTTATTAACAATTAAGTGAATGTTTATTAATCTGTTAATAGAACTTTTAATTGCACTCAACTGACATTTGGCCAATTTTAGTAAAGCCCAAGATAAAAGTATTTCAAATTATTGGTCAAAAGTAATTGTTTGTAAGCCCATAAACTCGAATGCATCTTAGGCGTTATTGTGTAGAAGTGCAAGTGCTTGTACGAAGAATCAATATGAAATGCACAAAATGTTGAACGGAAAGTACACACGAATGTAACAAAAAATCTCTATATTTACATTGTATTTTTACCATACACCTTAATATAATGATAATATATATTTTTTGTAACATTTTCATTTACCTGTTGTTATATGTGAATTTTGTTGTTGATTAAGCGTATCCTGAACGTCACCGTGTACCCCTTCACAATGTTTAAGTAAACTAAATCTACAAAAACCAATCCAAGGTCAAAATTATAATAAATTTACAAACAAAACAAAAAATCTAAACTAAATATATACTAAATTTAAATGTACACATTAAAGAAAATTATTTATTTTAAAATTGTTTAGAATATAGTTAAGGAACAATTTCTTGGAGTTAAATCAAATAAAAAGAATAATGATTTAGATTAAGAAATCAATCACTTACAAATACAGTTCACCATCACATAAAACAATAAAATCTTCACTTTAAAATGAAATAAATTTAGAAAAAAATTCAAAGCATAAAACGTCATCAAACATTTCAAATCAAAAAAGTACGTACACATGTACTCCTAAATAAAATTGGAAGCATGAATACCATAAATACAATCAACTCATCTCCATTATTTATGGAAACTACATAGTCTTTATGAAATTTTCCAATTTAGCGAGGCATCTTAACACATAATTAAAAAAGTTAAGCAATACAACAACGCTCAAGATTTGTACGAAAACAAAAAAAAACTAAACAGAGGCACACATTAAAACATGATGTTTGTGAAAACAAATTTAGAGAACAAAAGCATACAAAACTGATATTTCAAAATAAATAATCGTACTTTAAAACAAACTGACGCATTTTGTATTAATAAAGGATAGAGGGTAGAGTGTGATTTGGGAAACTATCCCACCCAATAATAACACTTCTATAATGTACATAATTAAATAGTTATTTTTATTAAAATTGTTTATCCTTTACCCATTTCGTCATAGGCAAGGCTTGCTTTTCTTGTTTTCAATCTTTAATTTTATTATATTAAGTGGCATAAGAATTGTTTTTATTTCTTATTTATTAATATGGTTTATTTTCATACTAGAAACTTAAATGGAACAAAAACAGAGTGGAAGTGTTAAGAACTTAGGTTGTGACATTCATAAGACCCTCTAAAACTAACATTTAGTATTCGGTTGTTAGTCCACATTATTTAACAGATTATTTATTTTTTTTTCTTTTAAGTTTAAATTCCTTTAATTTTCCCTTCGGAAGGAAAAATAAACATTTATTTAAAATGTAACTATGCTGGAATGAACTTGAGATGGTAAAACGTATTAAGAGGACTTTTAGACAATTAAATTATAGTTTATAGATACGTCTATGGGTTTTTCGTATAGTACGATAGTAATATTAGTGGAATGAGATTTACTATCATGTACTTATGTATAATCGATCCAAATCACTAACCACGTTTCCTCTTGTTAATTTTGTTTTTTTTTTTGTATTATTCATAGGGATTAAATAAGATAGGTATATTAATTTAGAAAGTAAAATGCTAGATGGCTCAATGACAGCGTGGAATTCAATTTCTTTGATTTTTCTTAAAAATCACTTAGCTTGAAAAATTATTATCGTAATTTACATTTACTATAGGTACGTTTTGATTCAATTTAGATACAACTAAATTTGATGTTAGGGTAATGCTAAAAATAATTTTCTACATGATAGTTACACACAGTGGAGCCTGGCATGGAATCCAGGATCCATTCCGACTAGCTATGCACATTTATATTTGGAAATAGATAGCTCTTAAACCGATTTCTTGTAATTTTTTTCCAATTAGTTTGGCTAATAAACGACTTAGGTTTTAAAGAGGGTTTTAACTTTAGGTTTAAGCGTTTCGATTTCATAAATTATTATTTCGACTAGTTAGACATTTAGCATCCTCGTTTGTGATGATAAGTTAACATCAATTAGTTTCCCGTTCATAGTTTTGGACAGTGTAAGTTTGTATTGCATAGAGCCTTTCTTAAGATATAGAAATTGTGGGTGGTTTATCAAGTAGGTCGCATAGATACATTTAAACGCAAGTTATTTTTAACACTTTTCAACTAACGTTTAGATTTTCGGTAATGATTGCATATGAAATGGCTTTGCCGGTTGATGGGAGTACACTTGACGGATGATTGCACATTTCTGTGAACATTTATGGAAGAAGATCTGTGGTATTCTGTAGGCCTATTGGAAACTCTTAGAAATGTAGAAGAATATTTAATTACCATATATTTATTATTTAACCCTGCTGAAGCTCAGATCCATCTTAAGTAAATTAAGATCAAATCTATGTTAAACATCTAAATTTATTAATTATTCTCCGACATGTTTTCAAATCCAACATTCAAATATTTCGTTCAAGAATCCGCCTTCAGTTTTAGGCCAATTCCATATTATAAATACGCTTTTCTCTATTTTCTCTTTCTTTAATTTCTTTTCGTCTTTTTAAGGCTTCTGCTTGAGTTTGTACAGAATTATAATATGATCTTTAATTAAAGCAATTATGGAAGAACAATGTGTACAACTTAAAAAGGAAATATCAAACCACATTGATTGTCCTGTCTTGTCCGTGCACAGTGAAGCATTCAATGTTTGTGAGTTTCACAGAAGGATATCGCTCCCAAAGGATGCATTTTCTTAGTTTGTTCAACAATATTTTTCCAGCTTTCTGTGCAGAAAACCTTGATTTCATTATTGGGGTGAGGTTATTGTTATTATTGGTAAATACCATACAATACGTTGTGACGTATGTAATTGAATTCAATTGAAGAGTCGTGTTATGAATTGCATACGGCCTTGTTTAAATATTAAATAAAAAATAATTGTCATGTGCTATTTTTATATATCGGTGGTTGGTTGGGCACAAAAAACCCAGGCATATTTTATTAATGCGTGTTTACAGAAAATATTTTTTCATTTAAAACCAATGTTGTGGCGACCATGTTTATGGAGAAAATTGCAAATTCAATTAGTCGATGGGGAAAATTGTTGTGCAACTCAAACATGATTAAAAACAGAAATCCCCCCAAGCTTTAATTTAATTTTCATGTGCCGCAGTTAATGTTTTAATTGACAGCGACGCAAAGGGTTGGCAACTTTGAAAATTTATATCAGAACGAAAACCAAATCAACTTGAAAACATTTGTGTTGGTTTTCTATCAATGCTAGTTAAGTGTAAATATTATAGATATTGTTATTTATATTTATAGTAAAGTAAATCGTGTTTAGAGCTCGATTTCTCTTGTTGTCGGTATACCAATTCCTTTCCTGAATCAAACATTCGGTTTGGTGGTTTAGTTTAGTTTTGTTCTTTAAGTGAAGTTCATTTGCATTGTTCATTCTTTATATGTCATACATATACATACATACAGACATATATATCGTAAATACATAAAAGACCAATTCGCTTTTCACGGCAGGAATAAATTCATATGCTCAAAAAATTACATATTCTTCATAATTCGATCAATCTTAGTCGATCTCATCGTTAGTTATATAATAACACACTCATAAAGTTTAAAGTTTGGTTTTTAAATGTTCTTCCTAAACTAATGTTAATTCCTAATACGTTTCACTTCCATTTTTGCAATCAATTTCACTGGTGTTATGTATTTGTTATGAATTGTATCTTCTTTTCTTACTTTTTTTTGTATATTTTTCAAATTTTAATGTTGTTTTCCAACGCTTATTTCATTTAGAGATCTATAAGCGATATTATAGTCCTGGAGTTGCGTAGCTCGGGCTCATCCTCTTGTCATCAAAGGTCATTGTCGAACATTTGCAAAGAGCGCGTTACTAAGTCGTCCTTCAGACAGGCCTCCAAAAATTCCTCTATCGTTATAATCCCATCCTGATTCAAGTCCAACTTGCGAAAGACACGATCCACCTAAGAAACAAATATGCTCTTTTAAACAGTGGTTCATTTATCTATTTAAAATTTAAATTAAAATCATCTTAAGCTCGAATGCTGGCAAAAAAATCCTTTTGCAATCCCTTATCTGGATTTCAGATACTTTCCGTTGGTATTTTCAGTATTATCAAAGGGGGAAACGTAAAGCCCTTATTATTAAGTAAAATATCCGTTGCTGCTTCCGCACATGAAAGCTTCCGTTTCCCCCTCTCAAGCATGTCGGGTGTTTCCAATGCATTTTCAATTCCCATTCAACGAATATGGACCACCCGCTCCCGCCGCTCATGTTCACTGTGTTCGCAATTATAATTACTCATACGCACTGTGCGCCGGCTAACGTCAGCGGATGTTGCGCGATATTTCAAGAGCGGCTTTTGAATACGAAATGAAGCATACAACTGTGCGCCATGCAACAACGGACAGATAGAGATTTCAGTAACAAAGCCTAGGACATGTCACCTGTTCTAGATACGAGTAAACACAGTCTTGGCATTTGTCGACATTTGGATAAAGTTTTTGCATAGTTTGCAAAGTTTAGAATATAAATTCACTTGACTCGGAAAGTTAAATAGTTTTAGTTCTAAGTTTTTGAGATTAAAGTTAACTCACCTGATCTCTCGCCTTGCGATCGTCCTCAGGCTGGTGCGGTCTCCTACCCATAAGCTCGTGTATGGCCAATATGATTTCGCTCAACTCGCCGCGACTGATCCGACCGTCGCCGTTCAAGTCGTAGAGCTTGAAGGTCCAACGCAGGCGCTCGTAGACGGAGCCGCGCAGCAATGTCGATAAGGTGACCAGTAAATCCTAATAATCATTAAAATTTATAAATAGGCATGGCCGGAGAAGATTGCGTAAACGCTATTATAATGAGAAATAATTACCCGAAAACTAATGGCGCCATTGCAATTAACATCGAACGCTTTGAACACATAATGAGCGTATAAACTGGAATCTATATAAATAGAATAAGCAAAGGAGAGGGGCACAATTAAGGGCGTGTGAGAGTATTTTTTTCTTTCGTCTTCCGTTTTCTGGTTATTTGAGTATTTTGGCATTTTGGGGGCGCAGCTGCTGCAAGGACGACATTTTCGCTTAAATGGCGCTTTATGACGCGCAACTATAAAAAGGAAAAGCATAAGACCTCAGCGACAGCATTGAATTGCGGCAAGCACTCCCGCCACTCGGCACCCGACCTCTGAAACGGGACATTTATATTCACGCACACATATACAAATACTTACTGCCATGTGGAAAGAATTTGGCGTAAATATCCTTAAAACAATCCTCGTGCACCACGCCCTCGGGGCATTCCTACAAATAAAGAAATCGCCATGGCAGTGTTTGCTCGGTTAATAAAGAAAAAGGCAAATGTAATGGATTCGGGTTTAAAAGGAGCAAGGAATCTGGCATAAAATATAAATGGTTCTCATTACCATGGTGGTTATAAGACACTTGACAAGAAAAGTAACTTTAATAACTGAAATGAGAAATATTGGACAGTTCAAATGACTTTAAGATAGACATAGAAACTAAGAAGGGCAAACTATCAATGCCCTGCCAAACTATCAATAGGACAAACTCTAAGTGATCCGAAACTATCCCTGGCGGAAACTATTCATTTGCTTGACCCCGAGCTCATCTCTTGTTGACCCACATATTGAAACTTTTTTCCTTTTTGTGTTGAGTTAGCAAGTTTTCCGCACTTACATCAAAAGTGCTTGGACACACATATTCGCTTACAAAGACCGAATTCATTTGCAATGAAATTCAAAACGCGTCTGCATTAAAGTGACAGCCATTTATGGCAGGCTCTCTTTCACATCCGGGGCAGTATTCTTGGATAATAAAGTTGCCAGTTTGGTGTATAATAAAAAATATACATATAATATTGTTTACTTTAAGCCTAATAAGTTACATAAGATTTTTGTTATTATGAAGGATAAAATAAGAGAAATTTAATGTAAAAGTGGGATGTTTTAACTAAAATAAAGGTTTTTTTTAACACTTACCGTTTTAAATCCTCTGTACATGACCCGAATCTCCTGTTTTGTGAACTTGGTCTGGCGGCAGAGATCCTCTAGGGCAACGGGAATGGGCTTAGGCACGCGTGTGTGTTCCAACTCATAGACCACCTCCTCGATGGGACTCTCCGGTGGTGAGGCCATGGTTGCTGCTTAATTATTGTTGACTTGGTTTCGTATTTAATTAATTGCCGTGTTGATTATGATTTGTAGCTTAATATCAATTTGCATTTAAGGTGCTCGGTTTTAGAGGCAAGAGAACGAACTCATTATGCTCAAATTCGCTATAAGTATTCAATTTCTTTGTCCTTTTTTTATGGGTTCGCCTCCTTTCAGCGGTCGCTGCTTTTAATCCCTTTCAGTATATCCTTTTTATTTTTTGGTGGTTTCTGGTTTCCTTTCTACGGTTTCCCGTACGCCATTCCACTAAGTCGCTAATGAGGCTACCATTTCTACAACGAAATAGAAAGCAAAAGTGAGATGGTGGGAGTATATTACACTGTTACAAACAGGAAAAGTTTTTCATAAAAGTCCTTGAATTAAATACTTATATAAATTTTGCCAGTGAACTTAAATCAAAGTCCTGCGCCGGGACAAGGACACTTTCGGCTGCCGGAAGAGAAACTCGTAACCGCAGTTATGTACCTTTTGCGCTCACATTTATATTTACATTTTTATATAAGCACATCGAGTATACGCCCTGTTGACTGCCTCAGGCCTGGCCCCGTCCCAGAAGCCAGGCCAGGCAACATGCAAATGCAGATTATTATTGCGTACCATAAATCAAAGGCGAATCGAGTTATGCGCGGTCTTTGGTGTACTTGCAGCACCTTCGTTGCACTTGCCTCTGGCGAAAAGGAAACGAAAGGGTGGTGCCAGAGACGGGGGTTTCGTGGGAAAAGGTAGTGGAAAGGTTGTTGGCCAGATCAAATTAATGAGCACTTTGCATGCTAATGAATTGAATGCGATTTCATTCTGATTATGTGTTTGTTCACGTCAGCAATAAGCTTCGTTAATAAAAGTCTTTCGTTTAATAAACTATAATTATTATACCCTTGCAGAGGGTATTATAATTTTGTCCAAAAGTGTGCAACGCAGTGAAGGAGACATCTCCGACCCTATAAAGTATATATATTCTTGATCAGGATCACCTCCTGAGTTGATATGAGCATGTCCGTCTGTCCGTCTGTCCGTCTGTCCGTCTGTCTGTCCGTCTGTCTGTCCGTCTGTCTGTCCGTCTGTCTGTCTGTTTCTACGCGAACTAGTCTCTCAGTTTTGAAGCTATCGTCTTGAAACTTTGCACACACCCTTCTTTCTTTTGCACGCAGTATATAAGTCGGAACGGCCCGGATCGGCCGACTATATCCTATAGCTGCCATATAACGGATTGATCGGAAATGGTATAACTTTGGTGTTTTTAGAGTTAGAGAGTTCAAATTTTACAGGAAAGCTATTTTTGGCAAAACATTACGACATGCCAAATTTCATAAGGATCGGCCGACTATATCTTATAGCTGCCATATAACTGAACGATCGAAAATGACCCAACTTTCGTGTTTTTGAAGATAGAAAGCTGAAACTTAATACAGATTATATTTTTGGCCAGTTGATCCATCCTACCGAATTTCAATAGGATCGGCCGACTATATCCTATAGCTGCCATATAACTGAACGATCGGAAATGACCCAACTTTCGTGTTTTTGAAGATAGAAGTTTGGGACATTTTTTTTAGATTTTTTATTTTAGTTAATTGGTTTTATTATGATGTAATCATAAGGATCGGCCAACTATATCCGATGTTTGCGATATATATCCGGTTTTAGCTGCAAGGGTATATCAACTTCGGCTCCGCCCGAAGTTAGCTTTCCTTTCTTGTTTCAATATGAGATTGTAAACTTCTTTGGACAAATTGATGTTACATTGATTTGTTTTACTTCTTCACTCTACACTCCTTATGTCGCAATATCCACCTTCAACATTCACGGCTCATTCATCATAATAAACTCAATCCATAAATTCTATTCTCCTAAATCCACAAATTCAATTTCCTTGGCAATGATTCGCCTGCACCAGCTCAAATCAAATCTTCGCCGATTTCTCCTCGTTTTTTATCCTGACAAATTTCAACAGCACTTCAATATTTATCAGCGAAAAGTCAAAAAGTGTGTGCTGCTACTATTTCCACTCTATTTCCATTTCGAGCTTTCGTTTTATTTTCTCCCACACAGACACGCTGACTAGAGCTGGAGGATATAGGTGGAGGTACTTTCATTTCCGACGTCACGGTTATTTTTCAGTTGGAATTGATTAGGCGGGAGATAGACCGAAATGGGGTCACTTCGAAACGGAAATAGCTTTGACAGTCTAAATCCGAAAAAAAGGGATTTATATTCCTTTTGCTCATCTCTGCACTTATCTCCTACTGACTACTGGTTCTGTTTAATCCACTCTATAAATTTACTTACATCAAACACTTTTATGTAACTATTTTAAAAGCCATTGATTTCATTATAAGTATCATTGCAAGTAATAAATATTAATACAAATTGCCATAGCTCTCATAAATGGCTCACAAACAAAGCGAAAGTATAATCTATAGCTTAACTGCCACAAAGTCCTGAAAATGTGCTGGGTGAGCTCTTTAAACCACAAGAAACTGTTAAATGCTGGCTGCCATTAGCATAAACAGCATTAAAAGCGGAGAGAGCCATAAAACCGAATACAATGTCATACTTAGCTGCTCGAGCTGCAGCCAACTAATTTCATGACTCTATTTTGCACAAATCAGTGTGGCACAGTCTGTGGGGAAAATGGAAAATGGAAAAAGGCGAAAATGGGAGGCTGTCCGGGAAAGGGAAATGCTTGCCACTGCTTGCAGTTTACAACATTCGAGACCATGTTGGTGTTACGCCTCTAGCATGGTCAGGATCTGCGTTTGTACATTGAAAAAAATGTAAACAGGTTTAATATTATACAATCTTTACTCTTTAAAAATAAATCTTATCCTTTATTTTTCAGGAATTTTAATTGCTTCTTGTAATTTAGTTTAACTTAACTTCCTTAACTTTGTGTATTTTTTTTCTGTGTAGCATACATTGTTGGGGATTTTCATCCCACACTCACGCATTTAACTTTCAAATGCATTTTTGGCGAGGCCTGTGTTCGGGGGTGTGCATGTGTGCATGTAAAATGTTTGTCAAATATCACGTATACGACATGTGCTTCCGGCGGGGAGCGCACGAACACCCACGAATAGCCGTCCAACCGACCGAGTCGAGCCAAACCCATTCACTGCCAGGGCAGCAAAGCTAATTAAATGTTAAACCAGGTCAGTGTGTAAACATTGTAAGGCGAAAATCCTTATTAGCCGATTCCCAATTGCGAGACACTCGACACTTGACTCTGACTCTGGCAAAATATTTCCATACATTCGCAGACACTGAAATGCACTTAAGCTGAATGAGCTAGGGGGAAGGGCAAGGCGTAGATTGGATATGCAAATTTTCTGGCAAGGCAATGCCAAGAACTGTATGTTTATTCATTTGTCTAATTGTGTTGTTCTTGTTGCTGCCGCTTTCAGGCTGATGAGGGCGGGGCGATCGGGGCTTTTGTGGGTCCTGGTGTGTGGCATGCCAGGACTTAAACTTATAAATGGTAACGACAACAGCGCCAGGAGCAGCAGCAAGGACAAGGCTTGGCCAGGCCCGGCTTGCATGCAGTCATGCAATGCTACTCGACTGGGAAAAAAGATAAAACTAAAACTAAACAAGAACGCACGCCAGGCTTCCTCCTTCACACTCTCTCCGGCTTACTGCTAACAGAAATTGTCAACAGTGGTTGGCTTATACTCGCATACACAAAACAATATTTGACATTCTTGGTAAGACAAGACACTCTTCGAAGGCTAATGTCTATATAAAAAGCAATTATAATAGAGCTGAGAGATTTTTAATGGATAGAATAAGAATGTGCAAATATGATACTAGAGCTTAGGATCTACCATAAGTGCAGTGTTTTCAGGTGATTGTCGCCACACTGTACTAGTCTCATTGTCATATTCTGCCGTTTTCATGCCACTTTCATGGACAGCAGAGACAGACTGGCACACTGAAAGGAGTGCCATGCTCGAAAGGCAACGAAACGAAACCGGCAGGCTATATCTAAATAGAGACTGCCGACCTGATCTAACACGCAACCGCAAAAACCACAGTCCTACTTCAATTTGAGAGCATTATTAAATTGCGGATACAGCCAAGGCACATCCACATAGTACCTATGCAGAGTACGTTTGTGTATGTAGATCATTTTGGGCCAACAATTGAATTTTTTGCTTCAGCTTTTGTTGGCACTCGCCCACGAGGGCGAGGTCGTGGGCAAATCTCGTTGCGCCTACCAAAGACAATAAATCAACGCCAATTATATACTTTTTTTTGAGGGGACTTTTTTGCGGTTCTCCAAACCAGATATCGCCTTGGCCAAGGCAAGCGATGACGACACATAAAGTACGGTTTTCAACACTTTTCAATCCGCCTCTTGGCCAGGCCTAAATCCAATCAGGCCACAGATGGCAGGTAAGGTTGGGGGAAATGGGAAAATAATGAACAGGCAGAGCTGGCAGAACGTTAAGCCCACAAATCCCTCGAGGAATTCATGCGGATATCCAAATCCAAACGGAAAACGGAAATGCATTTGCATTAGCCTGCCATTCTATCTCAAGTTTCCAGTGATTAGCTTTGTTATAAGTTGCAATTTGATGTTGACACAGGCCTTCTGGGAGTCGGAGATAATGGACGGACTGTTTACCAAAACGTTCGATAAATGTTCATTTATTAATAATAATTGCAGTCCGATGCGATGGAATGCTTTGCGGTTTGAGCTCTAGTTTCCAAAGCAATGTTTCATTTGAGTTTAGGTGAGATAATCAATGTTATGGGTTAAATGTGTCAATAGGTGAAAATTATCACACCTATGCTCATGATTTTTGATTTCAGGTTTGAGAATTAATCTACAAGTATTGTGTGGAAAATTAAAGTGGTAGCTTGAAAGAGGTTTTAAGAAAATTAAATCTAAAAAGAATTTAAAAGAAAGTCTTTAAATGATTACCACACATATGTACCACCCATACTACCCCTATTTATCTTATCCTTAAGGATCTGGCAGCATGACGCATAATTAAAGTTGGTAATTTTGCCAAAAGAGTTACTGCCAATTGCCAAGAGATACAAGATATGGGCACAAGTTGGCTCTCAGCCAACATAAACACAAATAGCCTATTGCAGAGTTATGGGAATAGTCAAAGGAAGTGATTATATGACATAAATGCTCAATAAAGTTAGTTTAGACGCCTCGGTGGATGTGGAATTCAGCGATGCATACTATTTGTTTCAAGTTTGCCTTTTGACTTTCACTTGGAGCCCGAGGACGAGCTTGGGGAAATCAGGCTAAAAGTGT